ACCTAGGGCAGCGGGCCCTATACCTGGGTCAGGCGGCACACACAAGTAACAGTCTCCCTCGGCACTAACAGTCAATGCATACATGGCAGCAATAATAGCATCATAGTCAAGAGCAAAGATATCAACACCAGCCCTCATCAGCTCAGCCCAGCGAGGGCGCTCAACATCCTCGCCCATCTCCTCACGCCAAGCGTCGTCAAGGCGGAAGAAGCAGCGGTACTGAGTGTGGAACTTTCCACACGTCTGCCCCTTGCGATCACCTGTGCGAATGACATAGGAACAGCGGCCACTGCCCCCCGACGTCCCACGCTGAGCAAGCCACTCACGAAGCTGCTGGGTCGACTGGGGACGCTGCTGCTGCTGGGAGCTCTGGCCCGAGCCGGTGCCTCCACTCCGACCTCCACCGCCGCCACTACCTCCGCTCCGACCGCCACCACCGCCACCGCCACCGCCACTACCGCCACCGCCGCCACTGCCGCCGCTGCCACCACCGCCACTGCTCCCGCCGCCGCCCCCGCCTCCGCCGCCGGCCCCACTCCCACCGGCACTCCCGCCACCGCTCCCTCCAGCACCGCCTCCCCCCCCACCTCCCCCACCCCCTCCCCCCCCAGCGCCACCCCCGCCACCCTTGCCCCCCTTGCCCTTGCCGGTGCGGCGCCTCCCACCAGGAGCAGAAGCAGCGCCAGCAGACTCAGCACCAAGGAAGTCAACAGCAGCAGCAGTAGCATAGGAGGGAGCGAGGGGAGAGGGAGAGCACCCCTCAAAGATGGGGGTGCGAGGAGCGCCGCGAGCAGCACCTACAGCTACAATGCTCTTCTCGGCTGCTAGCAGCTTCTCCTCTAGGAGGGCGACAGTGAGCTCAGTGGGACAGCGAGCAAGGAAATAGTCGCGCACTGAGCTGAGGGTGTCAGGGAGACGGGTGACTATGAAGTGGAGTGCCCAGTACAGGGGAGGGGGGTTCTTAGCGCAGAACTCGGTGGGAAGGGCGGCACGCAGGCGAGCATCACTAGTGCGAAGGTGGGTGATAAGATCGGCGACTGTAGCAAAGGTGGACAGGTCAGGGAACAGGTAAGGCAGCATGAGACGGCTAAGCTCGGCTGTGGCAGGTGAGGAGTAGCGAGCAACGACAGCGTCGTATAGGGCTTTAGCGGTTTTGCAGTCGCCAAAGTGCTCTAGCTCAGCTAACGGCAGGTGACTGCGAATAGCCAGGCGAGCTGCAGCGTCACGAGTCTGCCACTGTGAACGTACACTAAGCTCGGCTGTGGCAGCAGGAGCAGCGGCAGCACCAGACGCGTAGTCATAGAGGGAGATGTGGTCCGTGCTATTGCTCATAAGATACAACTGCAGGTCGTCGAGCCAGGAAGTGAACTGCACGGGACGGCCCTCAGCATCGAAGGAAAGAACGCGAATAGAGGCCATGGCTCAGGCGTGAGGGCACAGCAGAGCAGCGGCAGCAGCAGAGGGGACGCGCTAGAGCGAAGCTAGCAGCCACAGCAGGAGCAAGCGGCGGTGCACAGGCAGGGAGCAGCAGGCGAGGCGGGCGGCGCTGCAGGCGGGAAGTGCGGCGGGCGGGCTGCGAAGCGGGCAGCGGGGCGGGCGGGCGACGCGGCGAGCGGGCAGCGCGGCGGGCGGCTGCGAAGCGGGCAGCGGGCGGGCGGGCGACGCTGCAAGCGGGCAGCGGGCGGGCGGGCGACGCTGCAAGCGGGCAGCGAGGCGGGCGGGCGACGCTGCAAGCGGGCAGCGGGCGGGCGGGCGACGCTGCGAGCGGGCAGCGAGCGAGCGGGCGACGCTGCGAAGCGGGCAGCGGGCGGGCGGGCGACGCTGCGAGCGGGCAGCAAGCGGGCGGGCGACGCTGCGAAGCGGGCAGCGGGCGGGCGTGCGACGCTGCGAGCGGGCAGCGAAGCGGGCGGGCCGCGAAGCGGGCAGCGAGCGGGCGGGCGGGCTGCGAAGCGGGCAGCGGGGCGAGCGGGCTGCGAAGCGGGCAGCGGGGCGAGCGGGCGACGCTGCGAGCAGGCAGCGCGGCGGGCGGGCGGCGAGCGGGCGGCTCGGCGGGCGGGCGACGCTGCGAGGGGCGCGCGAGGGCGCTAACGAGGGGCGCTTCGAGGGCGCTAACGAGGGCGCACGAGGGCGCTAACGAGGGGCGCGCGAGGGCGCTAACAAGGGCGCGCGAGGGCGCTAACGAGGGCGCGCGAGGGCGCTAACGAGGACGCACGAGGGCGCTACGAGGCTAGGGCACGGGGTAGCGTGGTAACCGCATGCGAGCGGTGGTGGGCCCTTAAAAGAAACGGTCGATAGGTCCTAGGGACCTCCTGCTCTGAATACCATGTCAACAGGACTAAGCAAGAATGTGTCATTGAATGGAAGAATTGGGTACAAGTAGCAAACCCTAGTTGGGGTTGTACCCCATACTGGCTACCCCACTACAGCCTACCAACATAACACAGTTTAACAGGGACAGTGTCGAGGCAAATGTCGCGAGGTGGTAAACGAGCTACTGTTGTGGGTATAGTGGGGGGAATAGTCGTGTTCGTGGTATGCGGTGTGATGTGAAGGGAGGAAAAGTTGTTGTAGACATGTAGAATGTACACAAACATGGAGTACAGTAAAAGGTTTTTTTTTAGAACTTCGTTTGCGGAGCTTTTGCTAGATTCTGCCTCTCCCTGGATTTTGCCGCCTTTTCCCAGACCTAGCCCAGGTGCGGCGAGGATAACCTGACATGAAAGGTTTGCCACCAAATCGAAGCATGAGGTCTGGTGGGATGGAGCAAATCGCTGCGGCGAAAAGTTCCTCTGTCTGTCATCCATCGCCATTTGCTCCGGGAATTGTCCGTCGAACCTGTGGTTAGGGCGTGTCTCTTTTTTTATTTTAGGCATTTTGGCGGACTGTCCGCTTATATGGAAACGGACGGTTGCAATAGCGGGTATCGGACTGTCCGTTTCAAAAATTCGAAACATGGGACAGTCCGTAAGCAAAACTGTCACTTTTCACCCCATCGCTGATTCCCGATTTACTGTAGCATCGCAACACCTCGTACACCATCGTAACCCCAGTCACACCACCTCGCCAAAATCGCAACTACAGGTAGCGGCTCGACATCCCCCGAATGCTAAAAAACTGCACTCTACACAACAGGCGAAGGATGGGTAGAGGAACCCGGAAGGGAGGTTTTAGGTGTGGTGTTGGCTGGTCGAGAGTTGTCATTTCCGCTTGACTACTCCATTGCGGGCTGATTCTGATGGTTCGGTTCAGATTGCTGGGGAATTTGTAGTGTTGGTGGGCTAGGGGGCGTAGTGTCGGTTCAATGCTCAGGAACGCGCCGCGCGCCAATAATAAACTGAACATGCGACTCGGTGCAGTTTTTTCTCTAAATTCGCGCGCCAATCGCGTGTCAGAACTGTGCTTCTGGCCGTTTGCATTTCGAACTGACAAAGGTTCATAATGTGAACCGTTGTGTGGAGGGAAAAGTGACGCGACGGTTCGAACTGTTAGCGACGTCGCAAACTCCTTCGCGAACTCTTTGCGAAATGTAACGAAAACTGTAATGTTGTCGCAATTCGGACGGTCCACGGTTCGAACCGTCGGGAGCAAAAAAGCTGACGCAGGGGACCAGGGGCAAATCGGTGTTTCTTGCGGCATGCCGCGGGCTTAGGTTCGGATCATGTTTGGGAACCACGAGGCCCGGGGTGGTTCAAATCTCTTCGTCTATGTCCTCTTGAGCAATACAGTTCTACTGCCCGAGAAGAAATTTGTTGCCGTACAGCATAGTTTTCAGGGAAAATATGCCACTCGTAATAAAAAATGGTCTCGATAATATGTTGGGAAAAAAATAGCAGGTACGGTCACTGCAAAGGGCGTTTTCACATGTTTGATAAAGCGTTTCATGGAATCGGTCACTATCTACTGGGAAAAAATAACGCGAATGGTCACAGATGAAACTCCCGCCAAAAAAAAATAATACCCAAAACGAACCTGGATGTATTTTCGGATGAATCAACCCTAAACACAATTCGCCAGGTGTTTAGGGTTGATCCGTCCCCAAACTGCATCCAATTCCGATTGGGTTTTAGTATTTTACGAAGTTAGCTGATTGGTTGCGCGCGAGCGGGAAAATTTTAGAGTTTCAAGAAATTTTGGCGGGAGTTACATGTGTGACCATTCACGTGATTTTTTACCTGTTGTTAGTGACTGAATCCTTGATCCCACTAACCAAACCCCCCAGGAATCCCGATACAGTGACCGTACGCGTTACGATTTTACCATTCACGTTATCGAGTCCCATGTTGGTTACGTGTGGCATATTTTCCCTAGTTTTCAAACATAAAAACCAGAGCACGCTCGTACGCAACATTACCCCACAATAATGGCAATATATGATTCTACTGGGGAACACGACAGGTAGGGTGCAGTAAATTCTCAAATCGAGGGCTGAGCCATCCATTCGTTACCTCCTGCTCATCTCACCTCATCCCTTCCCTTTCTTCCAAACTAAAGCCATAGCTCACTAGAGTTCGGTCCCCTCATTGTTCCTAAACATTCAACGTCATCGTCTTTGCAAATCACCTCGTTACTTTTTGCTCTACTTACGCCGTGGTGAAGGCATGGATGTTGACGGCGATACTGAGTGGGAATGGGACAAGATGTGGAGGAAGCAGCGAGAGGAGGAACGGCGGAAACAACGGGCAGCCGAACGGGCAAGCGTCAACTGGAGAAGGCACAGCGCGGGTGGCGTAGCCGGAGATTTCTCGGACGAATGGAAAACGCTAGTCTCACAGGAGGGACAGGAAGGAGCAGCACTGGAGGAGCCTGCCTCGTGCCATCAGTTTCCGCTACTGAAGAGTAAAAGCGAGCGCATCGTTAGCACGAGCGGCGGTAACATACCGGCTGTTTCTGGAAAGGGACTTGCGAAGAGCATGAGCGAGAGGATGGACCCGCCGTCGTCGGGCGGCGATAGCGGGGAGTTCCATTTCCACAACCTCAGGCGCGCGCAGCGCAGCTCGTCCATGAGGGCCGGCTTGTTCGCAACTGGTTCTCCCATGGCCGCCGGCCCGTCGGGCGGCGCGTCGTACTTCCCCGCGTCCTGGTCCACCGGCACCTTCAAAGGCCCCCCTGCCGCCACCGCCGCCACCGCCGCCACGTCATCCGTGGGGACCGTGCCGCCGAAATCAGGGTCGCATCCATCGTTTGCCCCGTGGCGAAGACGGAGCGAGAGCGTGGGGAATATGGACTTGATCGCGGCCCCCAGCTCCATCTTCCTGCCTCGCAGCACCAGCGATTGTTTCGACGTCGCGAACGTGTCGCAGCTGGGTAGGTCGGGAATGTCAGCCGTCGCAGCAGCCGTCGCAGCAGTGGACGGCTACGGCCCGATCGATCAGCGGTACGGGCCTAGTGTCGCCAACGTACCTCGCAGCCGCGACGGCAGCGGCAGGCAATTAGCCTTGGAGGAGTTACCGCAGCGTCCTGTGAGCGCATCCGCGGAATGTTCGGGGTCGGCATCGAGATTGTCGCGGGGTTCGCCACCTCAAGTCCAGCGGCCGGTCTCTCCGCCGTCTTTCACTCCCCCCATCCCCGTCGCGGAGCCCGTCTCTCCCGATACAGCAGAACCCGATATTAGCTTTCAGGCTCCGTACGCTGACGTGGCGCCTGCCGTGGTTGGCGCTGTCGGCGTGCAACGGCTGTCGCTGCAGGTGAACCGGCTGGAGGTCCACACAGACGGTCTCGGCAGCCGAGATGGCAGTCCACGTGGCAGCTGCGGAAGCCCAGCTAGCAGCTGCGGCGTCAGTCCACGTGCCAGCTGGTCAGGCAGTCCGCAAGGCAGCTTCTTCGGCAGTCCACGTGGCGACAGCCACGGTGGCACGCAGCTGAACAGCAGGCAGAGCAGCAGGGAAACCAGTCCCAAAGATCTTCAGGAGATTAACTCCTTCGAGACAAACCACTTCCCGGCGGGGAGAGTAGGCAGCCGCGCGGGAAGCCACGCGAGCAGCGTCGCGCACAGTGTGTCGGGGAGTGTCGTGAGCAGTCCGAGGGGCGTCAGCTGTGGCTACAGTGCCTCCTGGGAGCTGCCTGGCGCCGGCGATATCATCCGCTCCCCCTTCGCGCCGCCCTCGGCGCAGACGGCGCGCAGCAGCGGGCAGCCGACCATTCAGGAGCTTCTAGATGCGCTTAAAGCCATCAGCCTGGACGCCGCGCTCGAAAGCGCCGCCGCTGCCGTCGCCGCGGCGACTGCTGCGGCCGTCGCGTCGATGCCGCCCGGCGTGTCGATCCCCCTGCCAGCCCTTTCCCCGTCCGCGTTATTAGCCCCGATTGGGGTCCAAATAGCGGGGGAGGGCGAGGGGTTGGGGCGCAGGCTGAGCGGCGGGTTGGACGGCGCGAGTCGGCCGGGATCGCCGCTAGCGCCGGTGCTGGAGGTGCCGCACGAGGAGGAGCGCAGCTGGGATCCCCCGCCCGCCCCCGCTGCGGTGGGTTGTAGCGACGACGGCGCGGACGACAGTCCCTTGGGATCGCCGATTCTAGGGTTAGGCGGGCGCGCGTTTTCGGAGAACGGGAGGGGGACGGGCGGCGGGAGGGCGGAAGATCTGCGGAAGAGCCGCAGCGTGAGCGGCGGGGAGCGCGTTGGGACGGAGGTTGTGAATTTCCACGCGGCATCTCCGCTGGTGGGCGCGCGTGCCGCGGAGGGGGAGCTGGCCGTGCGCGCGCAGCACCAGCGCGCAGGCGAGCAGCGCGCGGGCGAGCAGCAGGCGCTCTCTTCCGCGGTGTGCAGCGCGTTCAGCAGCCGCAGCACGTCCGCGGACGGCGGGTCGGAGGAGAACGACCCCCTGGGGGACCTTCCAGGCAGCTTCGCGAGCCGTCTGGGTGGCGGGACCGCAGCTAACGGGCATCCTGGCGGGCAGGGAGCGCGGGAGGCAGGCGCAGGGGCTAGCGGGGGGGTGGGGGGATCCCCGCGGCTTTCCGCGCGTGCGGTTTTCCCGCCTTCGTTTTCGTTAAGCCACTATCTGCAAGACGACGACGACGGGGAACCGCTGGAGGAGGGGGAGGGAGAGGGGGAGGGGGAGGGGGAGGATGGGGCAATGGGTGTGCGGAAAGTGCGGGAAGCGGGGGAGAAGGGGGGAATGGGAGAGAGGGGGAAAGGGGCCGAGGATGGAGAGAGGTGGGGAAAGGAGGCAGACGAGGCGCAGGAGGCGGAAAACGGAAGTGGGGGCAGAGGGGCGCGGAGGGACAGAGATAGGCGTGGTGTCGCGGGCGAGGGGGCGAGGGAGGCAGGCGGACGAGGGGGGAGGAGAGGGGACATAAGAGCGGAAAAGCAGAGCAGCAGCGGGACCCATAGGGCAGATCTTGGAGCTTCAAGCCCTGGCCGCGTTATGGTCAACAGCGACAGTATTGGCAGCAGTAGCAGCAGCAGCAGCAGTGGCAGCAGCAGCAGCAGTGGCAGTAACAGCAGCAATAGCATCCCCGTGCTGAGTCCATCGAGCAGCATGGACGTGGGCGGCGAGGGGCAGGGGGACACGCCCTGGGCGGATTATGGGGATGACAGCCGCAGGACCGCTCGTGCTGCTGCTGCTGCTGCCGCTGCTGTTAGTGCTGCTGATGCTGCTGGCGCTGGCGAGCAAGTGAGGGGCGGAGAGGGCGCAGTGGAGGGGGAAATGGGGGTGGTTGCGGAGGCGAAGGGCGCGGGCGCGGAGGGCGCGAGTGCAAGGGCTCCGCACGTGTGGAAGGCGGGGCCTGGGCGGGGGGAGAGGCGGAGGAGCTTTGACGTGCGCGCGCTGCGGAAACCGGAGGAGGGGGAGGCGGAGCAGAGGCGCGAGGGCGGGAGGAGCGGGCGCGGGGAGAGTTGGGCGGAGGTGGACTGGCTGGGGCTAGAGTTTGGCGCGTGGCGGGGGGAGGACCTGGGCGGATTCACGTGGGAGGAAGCGGAGGCTGTGTGGGTGGTGGAGAGGGCGGGGGGGAAGACGACAGGGGGAGGGGGGAGTGGCGGGGAACTGGTGAAGGGGGAAGGGGTGATTGTGGGGGGGCAGGTGAGGGGACATATGGGAAGCAATGGGGGACAGGAGAAGGTGACAGATGGGGTTGGTGACCTGGGAAAGGGGAGGGAGGGGAGGGAAGGGGAAGAAGAAGTGAAGGCGGGCATGGGCGGCCGTGGGGAGGAGGGTGGGGAGGCAAGTGGAAGGGGATTGGAGCTTGGGGGGAGTGGGGCAGGAGAGAGTGATGGGAAAAGAGGCGATAGCATGAGAAAAGGTGCAGGAAGGTGCGAGGATGTGCAAAGCGGTGGCAGTGTAGAGAAGGAGAAAGAGGTGGCGGTGGGGGGAGCAGCGAGGGGCAGACGAGCGAGGGCGCTGTTCCCGACGTGTGTGTCGTTGAGCCACTACCTGCGCGACCCCTCCCAGCCTGACGACGACGAGCCCCTGGAGGACGTGGCGCACCATGGGGGGGCGGGCGCGCATGGGCAGCAGGGCGCGCATGGGGGGCGCATGGAGGAGGCACAGCAGGGGGAGGGGGAGGGGGAGGGGAGGAGAGAGGGAGAGGGTTTAGTGATGGTTACGGGGCGAGAGGGAAGTGCAAGCGGAGGGGCGGACAGGCCGGGGTTGAACCAGGGGGCCGGTGTGCTGCCTGCTCGTGCCCGTGCCCCTGCCAGCCTCCGTTTCTCACCCTCCAAGCCGCCTCGCCCATCCCCATCTCCTCCCTCCCATGCCGCCCCGCCTCCCCCCTTTGCTCCTGCTGCTGCTGCTGCTGCTGATGGTGGTGCTCCTGCGCTCCCATCACTGCCCACGCCGCTCCCACCGTCCCCCCCGCCTGCTGCTGCTGCTGCATCCGTGTGGGCCTCTCCCGGGGTCTGTGTGGCCCACATGGACGCGTTTCTCAGGTGCGCCTCACACTCACGCACACACATGCACATGCACATGCACATGCACACGCACATGCACACGCACATGCACATGCACATGCACATGCACACGCACATGCACATGCACATGCACATACATATGCACATGCACATGCACATACATATGCACTCGCACATGCACTCTTCAGGAAACGTAGCATCTTTCAAGTCACATACACACTTCTTACTCTGCTGCTGTCGTGTAATGTTACTTCAAGCCTCCCCTTTATAGCGTCCCCGCTCTTGTCTATCCCTCTTACCCAGAGCTTATTCCTGTCCTTCCCTTCCACCACTTTTTCCTTCTCCTTACTCCCTCTCCTGCCCTTTCTCCTGTTTGTCACCACACCAGAAACTTCCTGGATCTTTCAGCCACGCCTTTCCTCTCACTCGCACTGCCCTCGGCCACCATCGTGAGCTGTAACGATGCCACGTGTCACACACTGGGATGGCCACGTCAGCAGCTGCTCTCCCACAAGCTGGCCTCTCTGCTCGTTCAGAATCAACCACAGCAGCAAGGGCAAGCCCATGAGGAAGAGCAACGGCAGGAGGACCTGATGCAGACCGAGGGTGGGGAGCAGGAAGCGGATATGGGACTCAGGGATAGAGCGATGGGGGTGCGGCAGCAGGCAAACTCCTCCTTGGATTCCTGGTTGGCGGCTATCACGCGCACTGGGGTTGGGGAGGGCCCCCTTACAGTCACTCTCACCCGACCCAATGGGTTGGCTGCTGTGCGTGCCACTCTCTTTGCTGCCACCCTGCACCCCTGCTCTCCGCCCTCCCATCCCTCTCAACCATTCCACTCTGCGGGAGCAGGCAGCGATGGTGGTGGTGGTGCAGCAGCAGCAGCAGCAGCAGCAGGGGAGGCGACGGTGGGCATCATGCTGCAGGTGCTGCCATGAACCCTCTTTTCCATGCGTGCGCACGATGACAGCTACGGATCACTGCTGTGACGCACACCTCGCCAACCTGCGAGGCTTGGCAGAGAGCATGCCATGCCATGGATTGGCACTGCTGTACAGCAAGGGCAGCGAGGGAGTTGGTGCTGCTGCTTTTTTTTTGCTCGATGTTTTTGAAATGTTAGCCCCGCGTGGGCTGTAGTCTGGTGTTGCCCCGGCAGTTCAAACTCGCGTCAAGATGTGTGCAGCGCGAGGGTTAACCACTGTGGTTGGAGGAGAAATTTTGTATTTATTGGATCATATGGGGCTGCTGGTCTTGTTGCCCTGAACAGCAATCACTTGTACCGGTACCAGTACTGACTTCTGTTGACTGTCGAGCCATTGAGTACTGGAGAGTCGTATCGAAGGTGCCGTATGTTCTCTTGGCAAATGGTTGATCACCATTCAGGGCCTCATCCATCCAAGCATGATCATATCAGTCTTCCTATGGACAGCTTCTATGCATCGGGTTACTGGTAGTACGGTACTTAGCACGGAATGCTGTGGTCCTTGTGACAAAACGAGGCGCCACCCCACCACTACTCTGCCTGCCTGTGCTTGACGATGGGCGTGCCAGCCAGTGAAGCTACATTCATCAACCCATCATCGTTCCTTTCTACCCTCTAACCCTTCTCACCCACCCTTCTTTCAAGTTGCCGATCAATGCACTAACGGGAAAGAGAAACATGGGGTTATACACAATAATACAGCCTGAATGGACCTCGTAAACCTGCAGGTCATTGGTACAGCAAATGCCACTACCAGTGGCGCCTAGTGCCTGGGTCGACAGCGCCAGAGCACCACTCCAATTGCAGCAGCAGCCAGCACAGCAAGCAGTGCCTGTAATGGGGAAGATGAAAACGAGGATGAGGAGGATATGAAGGAAATGGCATGTGATCACCACCAGAGGGAGCACAAGGAGACGAGATGCGGCCAGAAAGTAGATGAGAACACGAGGCATGAGAGACGGCGCAGCTGCGGTAAACAAACTCACTTTGGATTCGGAAGTGAGGCCCGGGTTCTGCTTGGGCGGCAGCGACAGCAGGCGGCGCCAAAGGGGTTGGGTGGGCACGAGGCTGACAGCTGTGTACTGCGTAGAGCATGGCACCGGGAGTAGCTGAGTTAGCACGGCGCGGACTGAGTCAGCGCTGAGCTGGCTGATGAGACGCAAGCGAATGTCTTCCAGTGCCTGGTGGGGCGGCAAAGGCGGTGGATGATTGGGGGAAGTGGGGTGTGGAGGAGAAGGGAACAGTTGGTGCATGTGCCCTGCACTCCGCACTCAACAATCTCGCGAGAGAAGAGCAACTCCTCACTTAGTGTGCTAGCCATGGGATGGGAGCCCACTTGAAAATGGCGCATCAAGCCACCAACACACAGCCGAGCCCGCACAGTGTGCGCTGTCCAGAACTCTCTACAACAGCAGACAGCAGCGGGAGGTTACCTGAAAGGACTCGTCCACGTTGCCGTCATACAGGCGCGTCTGGTAGGCCCGCACGACGCGGTCGAGCCAGAAGGAGTTCTCCTGCAGGCCCATCTCGTGCGCGCGCTGCTCCAACTCCCGTGCCGTCTTCACGTCCTCCTCCTCCGGCCCTTCCCTCTGCACGCGCTCTATCTCCCCCACACTCAGGTCCACCTGGAGGGGATGGGTGGCAGATATGAGAGGACGCAGAGCGCCTTGCGTGACATGGTGAGTGGAAGCACAGAGGAGAAGGACAACGGTGGCACAGAAGCGACGGAAGCAGCATGGCAGCTGTGCAGCAGAACATTGATGCAGAGAGACACAGGAAAAGCACCTTCAACCCGAACGCACAGCAGAGCAGAGCGGAGGAGAGGGGAGCAGAGCGGAGGAGAGGGGAGCAGAGCAGAGAAGAAAAAGCGGAGCGGAGCAGAGCGGGCGGAGCAGAGAAGAGCAGCAGAGAAGAGAAGAACGGAGCAGAAGCAATGAGAGCAGGGAGCGCACGAGCGACCAGGCGGTGGTGGGGTCGCAGGAGAATGCAACAGCCAGGTCCCCCCGCACCCCCCCGTCTCGTGATGGGCGCGCCCCCCCCAGGAAGGACGATGCCGACACCGTGTAGATCTGCAGTAGGGGGGGGAAGAGGCAGGGTGGCAAGAGGGAATGGCAGGGGTTGGTGGCAAAGGGGGGTGGAAGGGGTTGGTGGCCGTTGGAACAAGCGGCAGGGGCGGTGGCAGTGGGTTGGTAGCAGGGGTGACAGGTGGCAGGATGGGGCAGAGGGGGGTAGAAGGGGATGGTAGTGTGGGAGGGCGAGAGTGGTGAAGAGGGGAGAAGGGGTGGAAGGAGTGGTGAAGAGGGGAGAAGGGATGGAAGGAGTGGTGAAGTGAATAAAAGAGGGGGTGGAGAGGTTTGGCAGGAAGTGCACAGTGGGGGCGAGATCACGTGAATGAAGGAAGGCAAGTACTGCAATGCCCCAGTGGAGTGACCGAGGAGTGTTTTGAGACGTCTCAAAACACTTCTTCAAACATGAAGGAAGGCAAGTACTGTAATGCCGCAGTGGAGTGACCGAGGAGCATCGTGGGGCAGACAGACCTGGCCGTGCTTGAAGCGCAGCAGCTGCATGATGCGCGTCTCCAGCAGCTTCGTGAGGAAGCCCACCCACATCGTCTCCTCCACCTGAACAGGTGACATTCATGTCGTACCACATGGCATGCATGCAATCATGTGCCATGCATGCAATCATGTGCAGTCACACAAGATACTCAGGCACGATACAAATACATTGCACTATAGTCAAACATGTCGGAGTACCAGGGACACGTACATCTGAGTGGAACCATGTTCTTGTTGTGTTGTCCCACCCTGCTGCAATGGTGGAGTGCCAGATCATGCCATGACACGACACAGCTGGGCATGGCAAGACATGATACAGCATTGCTTGGCATGTCATGGCACTCACGACTTTGGGGCCGGCGGGGATGTTGAGGGGGAAGGTGATCTGCGTGTAGCCCTGCGCCTCCACCATCACCCTCCTCACCTCCTCCCTGCGCTTCCCAACCAAGCACGAGACAGCAGAGGGCGAAGAGAGCAGAGGGAGTAGTAACTGGGCTATTCAGAAACAGGGCAGGACAGAGCATCGACACGAGCAAAGCACATCAACAGAGAGAGAGGTGGAACGGGCGTAGCAGGGTAGCAGTGATGTTAAGGAAATGCATGGAGGAAAGCGGGCAGACACCAGGTGCTCCCAGACCAGAAGCCTTGACCAAGGCGCACCGGATGAGGGAGTCGGGGAACTTGAAGGGCAGTGCTGTGAGCGAGTCGCGCTCATAGCACGGCATGGCGGCTGATGGTGGGGGCACTGGGATGCCGCCCTGAGGGGTGCGATGCGAGTGGGGGACAGAGAGAGGGAGTAAGGTGGGGGCTGTGGTGCTGAGGACACTGAGACGCTGCTGTGGTCTGTGGGTCATGGGGGCAGCGCCGAGATTGAGTCTCACTTGTAGCGCGGCATGGCGGCTGATGGCGGGGGCATTGGGATGCCACCCTGAGGGGTGCGATGTGGGGGGGGGGGGGGGGGGGGGGGTGGCATGGGTGTGGGACGGGTGGGTGGCGTGGTGGATAAGAAGAGAAGCAGGGAACTTGGATGGTTGAGGCGAGAGACTGAATGGGAGAGAGTGAGTCGGCAGGTGAGTAACTGCGTGCATGAGTGGGCAAGTGAGTACGGTTGTGAGTTTTGATTAAAAAGCAGCAATTGCTGCAGTACCCACCTCCTTCTGCCCACACACATCTACTCACGCACTTGATTTCTGCCTTATCCTGCGCCTGTGTGCCTTTCACTGCCACCTCACCAGCCATTGCGTGCATCAATCAAGCCGAGCCTTCTCTCACCAGCCACTGCGTGCCCCAACCAACCCTCCCCTCACCAGCCACTGCGTGCATTAACCAACCCCTGCCCTCACCAGGTACTGCTTTATGAGGGGCAAGGCCTGCGCAAGCTTTGTGCTGCCGACGATGACGGCAGTAAAGGGCGCGGGGTCCTTGAACGCCCTCTCAAAATACTCGCATGCCTTGCTGTAGTCCACCTTTTTCAGATCCGACTCCGTGATTGGCTGCACGGGAGAGGGGGAACAGGAGGGATGCACGCATGGGGAGGAAAGGAGTACATGGGGGTGCTGCCGACGATAACGGCAGTGAAGGGCGACGGGTCCTTGAAGGCCCTCTCCAAGTACTCGCACGCCCTGCTGTCGTCCACCTTTTTCAGATCCGACTCCGTGATTGGCAGTAGGAGGACGTGGGAGGTGTGAGGGGAGATGGAGGTGTGAGGGGAGATGGAGGTGTGAGGGGGAAGGGGAATGTGCGTGCGTGCAGAGGGAGGGAGGCACGACACGAGGGTGTGACGCCCACCCTCCCCTGGTAGCTGCCCGCCCCAAAATTTTCCACCGGCCCCCTGCCCTGCCACTCCCACCACACACCCCTATCCCATCCCCCAGCCCGCACACGTCACCTTGAACTGGTGGCTGCGGCCGTAGTTGATCTCCCTCACCCTCACCCCTCGGTTCCACCTCCCTCCTCCCTCCCGCTTCCCAACCCCCACGCCCCACCCCCCACAGCACCTTGAACTAGTAGGTGCGGCGGTCGTAGCTGATCTAACTCACGCGGTTGGCAAAGGCAGTAAAAGGGTCACGCTGCTGCCCGCCCTCCCCAACCCTTCCCTGCCGGTCCCACCCCAATCCCTCACCTTTTGAGGCGCTTCAAGAGCCTATTCCATCCCAATCCCTCACCTTGAACTGGTAGCTGCGGCCGTAGCTGATCTCCCTCACGCGGTTGGCGAAGGCAGTGAAGGGGTCGCGCTGCTGCCCGCGCACGGCCTCCCGCGTCATCTGCTTGATGAGCGCTATGTCCTTGGCCTCCGCCTTGATGCTGCACGTGAACAGCTGATACACCAGCTGTGGAAGGGGTGCGGGAGGGGAGGAACAAATGGGAGGGGCAGGAGAGAAGGTGACTTGAAGTCACTCAGAAGCCACCATCAGCCGTCCGTCTGAACCAGTCACTCACTACAACCACCAAACCCCCTACTTTCCCTCCACACCCCCACCCTCGCAGCGCCCCGCCAACAGCAGCATCCCAGCAGCATCCCAGCAGCATCCCATCAGGCAGCATCCCAGGGCACCTGCAGGGCCGTCTCGAGGTCGTCCGGCGAGCACTCCCCCGAGAACACGCGCATGTAGGACGAGAGCTTGCCGCCCACCTCCACGCGCTTGCCAGCCAGCAGCTCCGCCATGACAGCTGGCGGGTGGCCGAATATGCCCGCCTCCCCCGCGATGCTCTGCGCCATGGCTGCCGTGTAGTAGTCGGCTTCCGACACCTCTGACAGGCCTCCGTATGCGTACCCGGATATGAGGATCTGTGGTGGGGTGTGGGACGATGGACGGACACATGGAGGGGAGGGTTGAGAGAAATGTCATGGTTTGCTCTGTGCCACGGCATGGCTGCCGCATGGTATTCGGGGTAGCACACTCCTGAGCGAACCGCATACGCGTACCCAAATGTGAGGATGTGCGGCATGGCCGTGGGGCGGGGCAGGCATGAGCAATGAGCATGGAGTGCCGGAGCCAGGCAGCACGCCCCTGGCAGAGGCATGGCCCTGCGCTGCACGCTACCCCAGCACCACAGCTTGGGAGTACAGCTGCGCGTGCTGCAGCAGGCCTGGCGGCAGCAGCGCTGACAGAAACGGCAGCACATTGCCTGCTGCTGCCAGCACCGCACACAACCCAGCCACATACCCCTGCTCCACCCGCTGTTCCTCCCCCCTCCCCTTCCCTCTCCCCCTCGCTCTCTTTCCCGCTCTCGTCGTCTCTCTCCCCCCAGCAGGAACGGGGTAAAGACGGGAGGGGAGGGACGGGTGGGTGGTGGGCACACAACCGCTGGCTGTGGCTGCTCTTGCCCCTCTGCCGCCCTTCAGAGCTGCCACGTCAGCTGCCAGCTCAGCGGCCATGCTTGCCACGTGGCAGCTGCAAGCCGCGCCAATCGCTGCCAGTGTGTCAAGGATATCCTGTATCTCCCTCCGCTCCCCTCCCTCCGCTCTCCTCCCCACTCTCTCCCTCCCCCTCTTCTGTCCTCGTCCCAGCCATTCCTGTGCTGCCCATTCGCCCCCACCACCCACACCAACACCACCCCATGCACTGCCCCCATCCACCCATCCCATCTCTCCTCCCACTCCCTCCTCTCCCTCACTCCCCTCCTCCTCCTCCTCCTCCTCCTCCTCCTCCTCCTCCTCCTCCTCCTCCTCCTCCTCCTCCTCCTCCTCCTCTTCCTCTCCCCCTGCCCTCACTGCCCTCTCCATATTCCCCAGCAGTGCACGCACACACGCTCTCACTCCCCCCGAGTGTGCCGGCCGCAGGACCGCCAGCACTTGTCGCCCCGCCGCCCGCACAGCCGGCGACTTGTCCTGTAGCGAGGCGAGTAGGGCCGAGAGTCGCCGCCCGGGGGAGGTGGGAACTAGATTCAGGAGAGAGGAGGTGGTGGTGGGGGAGGTGGTGACTGGGGTGGGCACGAGCTTAGGAGCATCTGAGGGCACAAGGAGAGGCTCGTGAAGGGGTGGCGGGGCGAATGGCCTTGTGATACCAGCAGCAGCAGGTGCAGCAGCAGCAGGTGCAGCAGCAGCAGCAGCAGCAGCAGCAGCAGCAGCAGCAGCAGCAGCAGCAGCAGCAGCAGCAGCAGCAGCAGCAGCAGCAGCAGCAGCAGCAGCAGCAGCAGCAGCAGCAGCAGCAGCAGCAGGTGCAGCAGCAGGTGCAGCACCACCAGTGCTGGCAGCAGAACCACCCGTGCCACCACTACCAGCAGCAGGAGAGGCAGCAGCGGCAGCAACGAGAGGAATGGGCGTGGAGGAGAGGAAGCGGGAGAGAGGGTCCCCCCACAGCAGCAGCAGCTGTGAGAGCGATCGGAGAGCCAGCGCTCGGATTGCCGCCACATCATCACTGCATCCTCCGAGTAGATGCGAGCACGCCTCAAGAGCCACGCGCAGGGAGGGCGAGGAGGAGGGGGGCGGAGCGGATGGGATTGAAGGGAGTGATGGGTTGGAGGAGCATGGAGCAGCGGCGTGGGGCGTGGCGATGGCAGCAGCAGCAGCGACAGCAGCGGCTCTCACAGCCCGGTAGTCATCCTCCATGCCCTCCACCACCGCCCCCGCTGCTGCCTCCCTTAGGCACTGCAACCACTTGGACTCGCTGCTCTCGCCCTGCCCTCCCACTGCCTGCTGCTGCTGCTGCTGCTGCTTCCGCCCCTCCTGCTGCTTCTTGCGCTTCGCTCTCCGTCCATCCAGCTGCTGCTGCCCCGAGTGGCTTTGGCCGGAGGGGGTGAGGAGCGGGGGCAGAGGGCAGAGGGAGGGGGGTGGAGGGTGCTTGAGCTTCTTGGAGAAGGCCTGCAGGAGAGCTGCCTCGCAAGGGACGGGGGGGAGAGGTGGTGAGGGGGAGTAGGAGGCCGCAGGGACAGGGACGAGAGGTGGCGAGGGGGCAACGAGGGCAGCTGTGGTGCGGAGCGCAGCGCATCGGACGGCGGGGAAGGGGTCGGTGGCACGCGCTGAGAGGGAGAGGAATGCCATGTCTGACACTGCTTGCCACGTCACTGCTTGCTGCTGCTGCCGCTGGTGGGCAGTCCAAGTCCCAGGCTGGGACGAGGCAGTGACTTGTATGCCTTGCCCGAGACAAGGCTGATTCCCACCACCTTCCACTCCTCTTCCCCTTCCCCTTCCCTCCCCGTCTTCCTCCCGAACCAGCAGCGCCACTCCCTCCCGCCGCACCCACGCTGTCACGTGTGCCACCAGCCGAACAGCCTGCAGGCGCACCTGTTCACAGTCGTCCTCTATGCCCTCACACGCCCGCTGCACCACTCCTGCCACCGCTGCTAACAGCACACCAACCTCATAGCCCTCGTTGCCCCCATAGCCCTCATTGCTCTCTTCGCTGCCATGCGCCACAGCCCTGCCTCCATCCCCCACCTCTGCTCCAAACCGTCCTCGCAGCACCTCTCCCCTCTGCTGCCCTGGAACAACCCCCTTCGCCCCGCCCTCTCCCTTCCCTCCCTGCCCCGCTCCTCCCCCCTCCCCTTCCACCACCAGCCAGGGTACCTCACCCAAGGCCCCCAGAGCTGCAGAACGGACAGATGGCACGCTGTCATTGGCTGCAGAATAGAGGGCAGACAAGAGGAGGCGGGCATATGCAGAGTCAAGGGAGGTGGAGGGGCGGGGCACACGCAGCACTTCCCCTTCCCTGCTCCTCTCCGCTCCTCCTTCCCCTCTTGCTCCTCCGACCCCTGCTACTGCCCCTTCCTTCAACTTCACTCCAACTCTCCCTTTCCCTTCTACCACCCAATCTCCTTTCCTTCCCCCCCAGCCCGTTTCTCCCTTCCTCTCTCCCGATCCGGCCCCTCTCAGCAAGCGAGCAAGGGAAAGGGAGAGGTCACACAGGCGCAGGCGCACGCGGTGGGAGGGATGGCGGGACAGGGCGCGCAGCAGAGGGGCGAGGGCAGCAGGCATGATGGGCGGAAAGAGGAGCAGCTGACTGGCGGCAGGAGACTCAGGGGCGGGAGAGTTGGGAGGGTTGAGTGTGCAGAGTGTGAGTGTAGCGGAGAGCAGTAATTGCTCTGTGACGCACCAGGGGAGAGGACGAAAGACAGGATCGGCAGCAGGTGGCGTGGTGGTGGCAGCGGTGGCATCGGTGGTTGCAGTTGGCGGACGGATGGAGGAAACGCAGGCGAGGAAGAATGCAACAGCGGGTGCACTGGCGACTGCTGCAACAGATGCACTCACTGCAGATGATGCTCTTGCAGCTGCACATTTCCAAAGGGAGGCAAAACGAGCTACAGCAGAGAGAGGAGGCCTCCCAGATGCCTCTGGTGCAGGTGCTGCTGTGCTTCCCAATCCTCTTCCATACTTGACCCACGATCCCACACATGCACATGCACATGTGCTTTCACATGTGCACGCATCTGTGCCCGTGCAACCCTGCACAAATATACCACCAGCACCAGCAGCAGCAGCAGCAGCAGCACCACCACCACCACCACCACCAGAACCTCCTTGCCTCGTCAGCAACAGCACGATCTGAGTCAGCAGCCTGATCATCGATACTGGTGCTGACAAGGCACCAACTTCAGGCAGCATAGGCCGATCAAGCCACGTCAGCAACAACCGTTCCAGCACACTCCCAGCTGCCAGCAGGAGAAGCTGATTGACCGAAGCACACATCAGAGAATGACTCTCTCTCCCTGCTCCGCGCTTGTTGCTCTCCTCTGCCCTTTGCAGTGCTGCCTCTAAGCCCCACAGACTGCAATCCACAGCGCACATGTCAGCACCGCACAGCACTCCTCCGTCTCCTCCATCCTCCCTTCCTCCTCCACCCTTCCATCCCTCACTCCTCGACCCTGGCCCGTCCTTCTGTGCTTCCAATGCGGCCCATCCGCTCTCACTCCCTTTCCCGCTTCCGCTCTTGCCTGCCTCACAGCCCACACGCTGCAGCCGCTGCAGGGAATGTGCCACCTGCACCGGCCATGGGGCCACGCCTCCCTGCCACCGCCGCCACTGCTGCTGCTGCTCAGACCCAAGGGAAGGAAGACCCAGGTGCTCCACACATGGAGAGACATGCATGAAGCCTTGCCGCCAGCGCAAGCAGTCCTTGCATGAGCACATGCATGTCACGCCCCCCCCTGCTCGCACCCCTCCCTCCTCCACACCTCTCTCTCCCTTCATCCCCTGCCCCTCCACTTGCATATCCTCTTGCGCCTCTCCTCGCCTTTCCCCATGCTCCTCCCCTCGCCCTTCCTCGTCCTCTTCCTCCTTGTGCTGCGCGCGCCTCTGCTCCCACCAGCCCCACACAGCAAGAGGGGAACGAGAGGTGCGCAGATAAGCTGGCCAGAGTGGCTAACACGGTTGGACTGGTTAAGGTGGCTAGAGCGGCTAGAGTGGCAACAGTGGCGCCTCAGCTTGCGTTGGGCATGTCGACACCTTCACTGCAGGGAGCCAGGCATAGCCCTGTCTCCTTCCCCATGGATTTTGTCCTTCCCTACGTCACACATATCCTTTCTCATTGCACTTCCATCCGCATGATCCGCCCATACCAGCGTGTAACCATCTCCTTCCTCTGCCTCACGTCTCTCCTCTCGCTTCCTCCCTTCCTCTCAACCTTCCTTCTGCTCCTCCCGCACTTGTCTCTCCTTAGCACTTCTTCCCTCCATCCACCTCATCAGCCTCTCTGCCTCCCTTCCTCCAACCACTCCCCCAACACCCACACAAGCAGCAGCCACCAGCAGGCAGAGGGCGCACAGCAGCAGCAGCAGCACGGACCACTGCTGCCACAGGCTATGGCACCATGCGAGGCACGGCACGGCACGGCACGGCACGGTCGGCAAACTCAGCACACGACACGAGGTCGCACATGCTCCACTTTGTGTCATCAAAGGTTGACACGAAGTCCGCAATAGCAACTCGTGAACACACCCCAGGTTGAAGCATTGCATGCAGTACAGAGCCTTCTCCACATGCATCCATTCATCACCAATGAACGGTCGATGCTTCACTTTGCCGGTCAAAGGCAACGATTGGCACTCAACAATCAAATCAACGGTCAACAGGACATGACTGAACAGTTGGAGTCTCTAGCTGCCACGCATATGCCATAGACATTCACAGGTCAGCCCTTGCTGTCGAGTCAGCTCCGGCCAACAGCAGTCAACACAGGTCAACGACAGTCACGCCCTCCCTCTCACCTGGTCGTCAAGGAAGTCGGTGCATTTAACCGCCACGCGCATGCCATTGGACAGCCGCAGCTCCGTCACCCCCACGCCTGGATACTCCCTCTGTTCCTCCACCTCCCTGTGCGGGCGGGAAGAGAGAAGGGAAGGAAGGGAAAGGAAAAGGAAGTGACGGTGAGGGGAGTGGAAGCTCCGTCACCCCCACGCCCTTATCTTACACCCCTCATTATCACTCACCTCGCCACTCACCCTGCCTGCCACTGCCTGCCACCCACCCCACCACGGCCTGCCACTCACCCCGGTACGGGCGGTGTCTGCACGATGCTCTCGGGAATGTCGTCTAGCGTCCACGGCTCTATCAGCTCCACCTCTTCTTCACCCCCGTCTGCCGCTGCTGCTGCTGCCGCCGCTGCGCCCCCCCCTGCTGCACCCTCAGATGCTGCTGTTGCTGTTGCTGTTCCTTCTGCTGCTGTTGTTGCTTCTGCCCCCTCTCCTCCCCCTTCCACCCCACCCCCACCCTCCAAACCGCCACCCGCCTCTCCTCTCCCCTCCCCTCCCTCTACAGCCTTCCCTTCTTCTCCTTCCCCTTCCTTCTCCTCACCTCCCTCCCCAGCACTCTCCACCACGCCTGCCGACTCCTCCCCATCCTTCTCCCTGGCAGCAGCATCAGCAGCCTCTAAAGCAACTCTCGGCACCTCTTCGGCCTGCAGTGCGGCCTTAGTGGCCACTTCAGCCTCCACAGCAGCTCTCTTGGCCTCATCAGCGCGCATGGCAGCGAGAGTGGCCTCTTTAGCGCGCATCACGCGGGCAATGACGCCTTGAATCGCCTCCACGGTGGCCTGCGCCTTGGCCTCCACGATCTTCACCACGCAGCTGCTGCAGGGAGAGATCTCTGACGCCACTGCTGCCACTTCTGCTGCTGTGATGCCTGGGGGATGATAGGGGAGGGAGAGGTGCGGGGAAGCGAGGGGCAGGAGTCGAAAAGGAGAGACGGCGGGGTGGACGGGAGGAGAAACTGAGAGTTAGCATCCACGGCCTTCACCATGTAGCTGTTGGTCGGGGAAATGTGTAACGCCGCCCACTGCTGCCAGCCCACCTGGTTGCAGCCCACACAACACAGCAGCACCATACCAGGCAGCAGCACCATACCAGGCAGCAGCCCCAGGCGCACCTGGCAGCAGTGCCTTGGCCAAATGAGCCTTGTACTCGATGCAGGGCGAGGGGTTGCTCTTCAGCAAGTGCTGCAACTACTCCTCTCTGGGAGACACCAGCGCACCTGATTAAAGCCCACTCAACCGCACCATACCTGGAGCAACAGCCCCATCCCACGCGCACCTGGCAGTAGAGCCTTGGCGAGTCGAGCCTCGTACTCAATGCCAGGCGAGGGCTCGTCCCTGAGGAAGTGCGCCAGGTACTCCTCCCTGAGCGCCTCGCTGTACGTCTGCTCCCTCTCCACGTACGCTGACTCTATGTCCGCTAGACACTGCACTCGCGCCATTGCCAGCTCCCTGTCTGATATACCGTGCACTTGCACCCGCGCGACCTGTAAGGGAAACGGAGGCAGGGGGAAGAGTCGGTGGCCACGGCAGGGGGAGGGATGAGCGGGAGTTACGGGGGAGAGTCGGTGGCCACGGCACAACTTCATGCCTCCAGATTCTCTCTGAAACAGCAGTAGGCTGATCAGCACTGTCATTGATGGCACTGGCAGTGGCAACACCCCCCAGTGCGGCGCTACACACAGACAAAACAACAAGCAGCCCAGCCCATGGGATCGACCAGCAACTCCCCACTCACCTCCATCCACAGCGCTTCCAGTGCCTTCAGCACGCCCTTATCCTGGCAGCTGGCGCTGAGCGAGAAGGAGAGCGTGTGGACTTCACTAAACCCTCGACCTTGGCAGCGGCGGCATAGAAGGGCAGGTGTAAGGGCGGGTTGCAGTGGGAATGCGTGCCAGAGCAGCACTACACGCACACAATGATAATACCCAGCCCATGGGATTGACCCACCACCCACCCCACGCACCTCCATCCACAGAGCCTCCAGCGCCTTGAGAGTGCCCTTATCCTGGCAGCTGGCGATGAGGGAGAAGGAACGGGTGGAATTCACCATGGCAGCTGCAGCACGCAAGGAATTGACCAACCCCCTTTCACTCACCTCCATCCACAGCGCCTCGAGAGCCTTGAGCGTCCCTTTGTCTTGACAGCTCGCGCTGAGGGAGAAGGAGCGCGTGGACTTCACCAGCGACTCCACCGTGGCAGCGGCGGCATAGAAGGGCGGGTTGGGGCGGCGGGACAGCAGGAAGAGGCGGTGCGAGAGGGCAGCCTGGAATAGCTCCTCCACCAGATACTGCCTGTAGTCCCACGGGGTCACCATGGCGTGGACGGGCGCCTTGCACGTCACCATCACTGCTGACTGGGAGAGGAAGGAAGGGGGGGGGGGTGAGGTGAGGAGGAGGAGGACGGGGCTACACAAGAGGTGAAGGAAAAAAAAACCCTTTTAAGGAGGCGGTGAAGGCACAACCCAGCGCACTTCATGTGTGCCTACCTGCCTCGTGAATGTTCTGATTGCCTCGTGAATGCCCTCACTGCCTTGTACAGCTCAACCATAGCAGCAACTGTCCAGCCACCCATCAACCCTACATGCTAGACGCTGAAATTCCAGGCCTTTACCTTGCGCCCTTGGCCCTTACGCCCCTGGCTGGCAGCTCCAACCAGACCCACGCATGCCCCCTCCCAGACTCACCCCGCCAGCCTCCCTTTCAACGAATACGGAGAAGCGCGGCTGTGAGTGCGGGTGGAAGGGCTCCTCGGGCACTGAAGGGCGCGCGGAGGGGCAGAGCGGCAGCTTGGCGGCAAAGTGCTCCGCTATGAGGTCCACCACTGCCTGTGAGGGGGGGGGGGGAAGGGGAGGGAGAGGGAGAAAAAGGGGAGTGACGGGGGGATGAATGGGGAAGGAGGGGAATGAAGGGGAGAGGAGGGGCAGAGTTGCAGCTTGATGGGAAAGCGTTCTGCAATCAGCACCAACACTGCCTGGAAGGGGGGGGGTAGTAGAGCAGGGGAGGGGTATGGAAGCAGGGAACATGTCAAAGGAACACCTCTGGTCACGCAGGAGAGGACGTGTGGTGTGGACTGTGCGCAACGAAGTGAACCGTGTGTGTCAGCCACATGCCCCACATGCCCCATGCCCCACATGCCCCATGCCCCACATGCCCCATGCTTAACAACGCACCTGCGCATCAGGGAAGTCCCTCACGGCGACGACGGCCATGTTAGCGGGGTGGTACCACGTGTGGTAGAAGCGCTTCACAGAAGGCCGTGAGAGCTCACCGCATACTCCACATACCGCACATGCCTCATGAACACACCTGGGCGTCGGGAAAGTCCCCCACAGCGACCACGGCCATGTTAGCGGGGTGGTACCACGTGTGGTAAAAGCGCTTCACAGCCGCTGCTGGCACGCCGCGGATCACTGACTCCAGCCCGATGGGCAGCCGCTCTGCGTACTGCGAAACATGCAGCGACAGTGATGGGAGGCGCATTCAGGAGAGGTAGTTCAGGTGAAGGTTTTGAGTACGTGGGTTAAGCTTGTGTTGGGGCCTGGGCTGCGGCTTGTGGGAATGAGAAGAGTGAAGTTGGGAGGCTGCGAGATGGAACAGACAGGAATGGATCTGCACGTATGGTGTAAACAGAGGCCTCTCTGACTGTGTAAACCCAAACCAGAAACCTTTAAGCCCCACAAATCTCACCTTGCTGCCTTGCATGAGCAGGTGCCAGTGCGCGTCCTGCATGCGCCCCATGGCGTTGCGCCTCTCCCGCCACTCCTCCAGCACGGCGCCCCTCTCCTTCTCCACGTCCTCCTCTGACACGCGGATCTGAACCAGGGGAGGCCGCACATGGGGCAGGGCGCACACACGGGGGAGGTCGCAGATGGGGGGTGCCACAGAAGGGCATGGGCAACACAGATGGGCACACACGGAGTCCCACACACAGCACTGGCAGAAAGAATCAGGAAATGACTGCATAGAAATCACCGCATGAGGCAGCAGCTCGGGAGCTGCACTGCAGTGGAGCAAGAGAAACCCCGACTCAAATTTCCTTGCCCATTCTTACCTCGCTGGCAAAGTCAGCGAGGATGGAGATGGCGTGTGGCAGCAGCTCCGGCTTATCCACGGGCAGCTGCTGCAAGAAAGACCCCAAACCCCATCCCATGGCACAAGATCCCCCCTGCCCACCTCACAGGCTAAGTCAGCGAGGATGGAGATGGCGTGCGGCAGCAGCTCCGGTTTATCGACGGGCAGCTGCAGCTCAAACACTGTCTCGACCGCTTTTGAGGCGCTTCAAAAATACCCCCCCTGCTCACCTCACTGGCAAAATCCGCTAGGATGGAAACGGCGTGAGGCAGCAGCTCGGGTTTATCGACGGGCAGCTGCAGCTCAAACACCGTCTCATCCGCTGACGTGTATGCGTTCTGGCACGCGCCAAACTCGGCGCCGATGCTCTCGAGGAAGCGCACGATGTCGTGGTTGCTGTAGCGCCTCGTGGCGCTGAACGCTAGGTGCTCGAGAATGTGCGCCACTCCCCGCTCCGCCTCCTCCTCTGCTAGGGAGCTGGCGGATTGAGGGAAGGGGGGTGGGGGATAGCGGAGGGGGGAACGCGGAGCGGGGAAGGCGGATGGGGGATGGCGGATTGCGGGATGGCGAATAGGGGAAGGCGGATGGGAGAAGGCGAATGTGGGAAGGCCAATTGCGGATTGCGGATGGGGGATGACGGATGGGAGATGATGGATGGGGAATGACGGATGGGAGACGACGGATTGGCGGAAGGTGGGACGGCGGATGGTGGATAGCGGGAGGCGGAAGAGAGTTGGGTGAAAGGAATGGGTCAGAACCGCGTTTGAGAATAGTGGAAGTCTTCTGTTCCTTCCCATCCCTCTCTCTCTCCTCACCCCGCTCCCCCCACACGGTCCTCTCCCACGAGAACCAACCCCCATGCTCTTCAGATCCTCACCCCACGCGGACCGCCAGCGCCAGCGCGGCGCGGTGCTGCGGCTTGGCGTTGCGGCGCACGTAGTACGTCACGCCGTTGTCGAGCCGCCCGTGCAGCACCGCGCCCTCCGGCCCCAGCGGGATCGCCGCTTTCCGCGACTCCTCGCTCCTCAAATCCAGGGGCTTTAGCGAACGAAACGACGACACGTGTCCGGCTCCTCCGCTTCTGCCGCTCATCCCGCCGCTGCCGCTTCGTGTGAGACTCAGTCGAGTGACGTCAGGCAAAGGTGAATCTAACGAGGATTCTGGATGCCGGGGGGGTGATGATGACGTCATGATGACGCCAGCCGCGGGATTTAGAATGTCTGAACCGAATCTCTCAAGGAAACGAATCGGCTAAATTCTGAAATGGCAATGACCGACAGAAACCCAGCTTGGGAAAAAGTGAGGAGTAACGACGGAACGTGCAGCGGCTCACTGGTCGGGATATGCAAAGGCCGTGCTGCAACGGGCGAAAGACAGACGGCAAAAGGAACTGGCTTACAACAGTCGGGATGCCGCGATGAATGGACCGACTGAAGCGCAAAAGGATCTCTCAATTCTAATGCCTAACTACAGATTCTCCCGCGTTACCGTTGTTCTCCTTGCAAGCCACCCCTGTGAAAGGAATAAGAAGCTGTGCATCATTGCAGCTTCTTACAAAACGATTTTTTATTCTCTTGGATCCACGAGATGCATATACACAAGGGAGTACAGTATCATTTTTGTCTGATTTGCATCAGCGGATGGATGGCTGTACCCGTTTTAGAAGTTCAAACGGCCAGCTGTGTGAGCTAGGGTTTCAAAGCCTTCCACAGATCTATTCCATTCACCGTGGTCCTCATTCGCCCCAATCCAACGGCTCATCGGTTGCTTCGCTAGGCTCGACTCAGAGATCTGGCTGCTTCGTCCAGCCTAACTGTTGCAGAAGGGAGCACCTGGGGTTTCCAAACCTGCTGGTTTGGCTTCTCCCCTTCATCCGTCCGTCCGTCCCACCTGTCCCTCCTCATCCATTGCTTCACGCTCAACCGCTCCCTGCTTCTAGGCTCAAAACGCCATTGATTGCCCGCCAGTCGCCGCATCTCACTCGTCCGTTTACCTCCCTAGCTTGCATCTCACCGTCCTGCAAAACTTGGACGTCCTCCGCTCGCCTCTCACAGTTCAGAGTTTCCCAGTTCAATCTGATTCGTTGCTCTTCCCGGAGGTACGCACTACCACTCGTTTCGGTTCCCCATGATTCCACTACGCTTTTAGCACCAGTTACGATTTCTAGCTTCGACGAAGTACTATATTTAGACTGGAAGCCGTTACTATAGTTCTGCTGTCTTTCTGGTTCATGGAAGCACTTCTCGTCACCGCAATATTTGCTTGGTGCTGTAGTTGTGCCTAGTCTGCGTCTCTAGTATGATATATTCTCGTCGTCTGTTAGGCTTCGCGGTTCAGCGACATTCAATACGTACAACCTCTGAGTTAATATCTCATATTTTCTTCGATTCTATTTTCGCTCAACTCTACGATCCGTGTCCTGGTTTATCTTGGCAGGTCGCACGCCAACCAAGCAGACATCCAAGTCAACAAGGTTGTTCCACTACGTTGCTGTGGCTGGTTGAAAAGGTCACTTATCATGGCGCAGCAGCCTGGTATGATAAATATCCCCGGTCAGCCAGGCCAGATGGCCTATGCTGCTGCGATGGGTCAACCTACAATGGCTCCTCACATGATGGCACAGTACCAGACGAACCCCTCTTCAGCAGCCGGTGTTGCTGGGTCCGTGCCTGCTGCTCAGGTGGGGTCGCTACCCGCTGGCGCTCCTGGGTACCAGCCTCAGGCGCTGCAGCAGCAGTTGCAATATCAGCACCTTCAGCAGCAACACCAGCAGCAGCTGCAGAGCTTCTGGCAGCAACAGATGCGTGACGTGGAGCACGCGAATGATTTCAAGAACCATCAGCTTCCGCTCGCTCGTATTAAGAAGATCATGAAGGCTGACGAGGACGTTCGGATGATAAGTGCAGAAGCGCCTGTGGTCTTCGCGAAGGCTTGCGAAATGTTCATTTTGGAGCTCACCCTGCGTTCCTGGATCCACACCGAAGAAAATAAGCGTCGTACCCTGCAGAAGAATGATATTGCTGGCGCTATAACGCGTACGGACATTTTCGATTTTCTGGTAGACATTGTCCCTCGTGATGAGTTGCGTGAAGAAGGAGGCGTGGTAGGAGCCGTTGGGGTCGGGGCTGGTGCAGCAGCCAGCGCTTTGGGTGCCGTGCCTCGCCCACCTGTAGGTATGCCTGGCACTGCAGATCTGCCGTTTGGTGGCATGTATTATATGCCACAGACTGCTGCACCAACCGCGGCCACCATGCAGCAGCCTAATGCAGCCATTATGGCACAGCATCAGATGATGGTCAACAGGCATGCTATGGGAATGGATCCTTCTCTGTACGGCCAGCAGCAGCAACAACAGCAGCAGCAACAGCAGCAACAGCAGCAGCAGCAGCAACAGCAACAGCAGCAGCAGCAACAACAGCAGGCTCAGGCTGCCCAGCAGCAGCAGCGGACTGCAAATGCCATGGCTGGGATGGGTTACATGCAGCAAATGCCTCAACAGATGTGGCAGCAGCAAGGAATGCCACCTCAGTGATTCTTGGCTAGGACTGATTAGCATTGCATGCCTTGATTAGCCAAGGGAATGTCTTTTAATAATTTCGTGAGTTGCCTTTTCTTTAGGTAAAGCCAGGTGTTCTACAAAACCACTGGTAAGTTCTGTGTTTATAACAAAGTTTCGAAAGTACCACTTGTAATTTTGATCTTTAGACGGGGTGCTTGCTGCTTTTGGTGGCTAGTTAGTTGCACAGTGAATTGTAAGGAGCTGTTCCATCTTGCCGTGCACGACCCACATGATATGACCCATGATATTGCTGGAATTGCGCAATAACGCACCAAGCTCTACCGAATCCTCTTTACAGGCCCCCCTCGAATCGGAATTGTGTACAGTAGGCCCCACTCAAGCCCCAGCGCAGATCCCATCGAACATCGCGCTTCGCCACTTCCGCCGCCCTTCAAGGGACGGGACCCTTAGAGCGCGTTCCGCATAGCGGAATTCGCTGACTCTGGCAACCCGGAGATTTTTCGCGAGTGTGGCTACCAGCGGTGACGAACACGTCTTTGCTCTCGCATGTCTCTCTTAAGAAACGAACACGCCCCGAGGTTTTCTGGTAGTCCGTCTAGACCTCTAGAGATCGAAGGTCGGTGTGAAGCAAAACTCTTCCTCGAAACGAAGAAATCAAGGTTGTTTCCCAAAACTTTGTTCGTGTTTATAACTCCTGCGTGTCTCGGCTTTGCATCACGTCCGTCTGGCTCGTTCGTCTGCTCGCCTGGTCGTCCAGGTTCCTCTGCGCACATTGAGAAGCGATGCAGCTCGCTAAATCCTCACTCTCCTATAGTCGCAACCCGTTGTCGCAGTGAGCGCGTGATGCAGCCGCCCTCGTCTCGCGCTGCAGCAGTTTCACCTCCGATATCGATCGTCCCCGTTAATAACGGGACCGCTTTGTAGCAATAGCTCGACCTGCATTTAGATAATTCGCCACGCTAGATTCCACAGACTTCGGACACCGTACACAACCGGATTGGATGATCGGCGACCCTCATTCTAAATCCGGAGCTGTTTACGAGCTGTAAACCGCATCTCCACGCGTTGGATCGTACGACCATGCGACGCCTGGGCGCGCGTGCGACAGAATCGTGGACACAGCAGCGGCAAAGACACAATCAACAGTCATGGATGAAGCAGCACCTGTGGAAGAGCGATAAGTCATGGACGACGCGTCTTCTAGTGTCTTGCCTGATGACTGCCGCCTTGCTGAGCGGGTCTCGCGGCGCAGTTGACGGCGGGAATCGCGCAGGGTATCAGACAGGCTCCAGTGAGTAGCCACGCAATAAAAAACCTTTCGGAAGCACTTATCTGTGAAAATTGCGTTAGATAAACTGAACGAAGCAAACCAAAGCCTTGTCCCGCTAGAAACGAAGGCACTCTTTGCCTTCCCCTTCACACGCATCAGCACCCTTCAAGCATCTCCTCCGTACCCGTCTCCGGCTCTTTCCCCACTTCGTACCCTCCTTCCCCACACTCTTCCCCTCTTCATTCCCTCCCTCTTCCCCTTCCCCCTTCCCCCTTCCCCCTTCCCCCTTCCCCCTTCCCCCTTCCCCCTTCCCCCTTCCCCCTTCCCCCTTCCCCCTTTCCCCTCCCCCTCCCCTTCCCCATTCCTCAGCAGCGCCCTTCAAGCCTCCTCAGCGCGCATGGAACTGCTCCATTTCCCGCGGCTTGTGGGTGCCTTCCAGGAAGCTTCCGCGGTACAACGGCGCATCCTGTCCGTTCATCCGGTCGTCGCACAACTGCCGGCGGCAGGGACGGACGAACTTCGACTATCAGAAGCTGCAGTGGTGGGTAAGTTGGGCCTTGGGTTAGCTCATAACAACAGCGACAGCAGGTACGGACGGACTTTCAGTGTTGGGTTGGACTCTAACTTGAAGCTGGCGGATTAGATGGGGTGACTGGTTTGGCTGTGCTGAGACAGACTCAAAACAGCGGCAGGGATGAGCCGACTCTGAGTATCAGAACCTGCAGTGGCGGGGGAGTTGGGGCTTGAATGAACTCATAACAGCAGCGACAGCCGGGACGGACGGGCTTTGATGGTGGTGGTGGTGCTGGAACGTCTCTTCAAACACCCCCTCTCCCCCCCTCTTGCCCCCATCTGCACCCCTCTCCACTCCTTTGCAGCCCATTGGTTGCAAAGTGCAACGCCTCACCCCAACTCGCCTGGTGCAGCAGTTTAAGAACAAGCTGGTGGTGGTGCTGGGGGATTCCGTCTCCAAGAACCTTGCGGACTCTATCAAGTGCACGCTGCATGTCGCCATGCCCCAATCCATTAAGACGTTCCGCCTTGCTAGTGGAAAGACCGAGCTCGTAGGGACGTGGGTGCGTGAATGTGATTTTGAGTGAATGAGTCTGCCTGTGAGTGGGGGTGTGCGAGAGGCATTGGTGGGTGAGTGAGGGCGTCAAGTGCACGCTGCACGCTGCCATGCCACGGTCCATCAAGGTGTTCCGCCTTGCTAGCGGAACGACAGAGCTCGCTTGCATGCACGGACATGGGTGAGTGAATGTGCTTGCGTGGGAGGCATTGGCTTGTGACTGAGGCATTGGTGTATCAGAGGCATTGGTGGGTGAGTGAGGGTGACAAATGCATGCTGCCCTGCCGTGTTCCATCAAGACGTTTTGCCTTGCTAGTGGAAATACAGAGCTCGCAGGGACATGGGTGAGTGACTGTTTGTGAGTTTTTGTGCTGTGATTGAGAGTGTCTAAGGACGAGTGTGCCTGTGAGTGAGTGTCTCTGTCAGTATTTAAAGTTTGGGGCTGCTCGTTATGTATATACAATACAAGGAATCCGATTTACTTACCTCATACCCTCTTCATAATTGAAGTCATTTAACTTTTCTCTCTCCCAACCACGTTCCGCACCAGCCCCATTCTTCACATCGCTACCCCCCCCCCCCCCCCCCCCCCCCCCCCCCCCTGCTCTCTATCCCCGTTATTAGATCCCTCGCTACAACATCCGGTTCGTGTCAGTGTTCTCAACGCACCTCAACAACGCCACGTCCCTGGAGGGTCAGCCCAACGCTCAGGACATCAAGGCGCTGTGGCAGCAACCCGACAGCACTGAGTCACCAGGGGGAAGCAGCACGGATACGAATGGAACGGCCGATGGGGTTGCAAGGAGTGCTGACAGGGTGGAGAGGATTGAGACGATGGCCAATCAGCAGTCACAACGCATCCACCTGGACCAATTGGATCCGCGCGTCGTGGATCTCCTGCCAGTGGCTGATATCGTCATTTTCCAGGCAAGCTGGTCGTGAGAGTGAACGATGGCTGGAACCATTGTTGGGGGAATTTTTCCGATTGACTCTGATTGACTCTGATTGGATTAGCATTGTGGATCTTCTGCCACTGGCAGATATTGTCGCTTTCAAGGCAAGCTGCAGCTGTCTGGCTTGGAGCCACTTCTGAATGACTCGTCCGTCTGTATGTCTGTCCATCCGTCCATCCGTCAGTTCTGTTTGTACGCAATCACACACCTCTCGTGACAGATCTCCATGCTTCTCGAAGCATTGCTGCGTTGCTGCAGGCGACTGACTGGTGGTACTCCTCTCCTCCTCCATCCAGCATTACCTCAGCAACCGCTGAGTGAAGTGAACTCATGAGGTGCAACAAAAATCATCTCAGCTTTTGAGTGTTGTCCCAACCCACCATGGCATTCTTGCAGGCCACTAATTGGTGGTACTCCCCCTTGAACCAGTACTACCTCAAGAACCGTCGAGTCAACCTGACTCGCAACGCTGCATACGCCATCGGTCTCACCACTCTAAGGAACTATGTCACCCGCTCGGCCCTCGCGGCTGCTCGCGGCTTCAAGGGTTTCAAGGGGAAGGCGGTGCTGCTGGGGGCGTCGCCCTCCCACTACAATATACCCGTACCTGGGGTCAAACCGGGGTTCTGTGAAGTGCAGGAGATGATGACGATGCCGCAGGTGAGCGGGTGGGAGAATTGCGGATGGGAAGACGACGTGCCATCAGGAGGATTGTGCCTGCCAGAGGAGAAGAGGATCATATTACTGGTTCCATTTCCAGGACATAACCTGGGTTGCAAGAGGTGGAGCGTGTGAAATACCCCACAAACTCCCCTGCCCATTTCAAACATCTGGCTTTCTCTACCCATCCCCTATTGATGGCTTGTGTGGTGTGACATTTCATGAGCCCCATTCCTCTTTTGCGGTGACTACAACCCCCCATGTGATAACCCCATTCCTCTCCTTTTCACTGCATTCCCTTCCCCCCTTCAGACGGTTGAGTTCCGCAGAACCGATGTGAAGACGAACGTGTTCAGAGAAATCCAGAGGCGTGTGCTGAGGAACTCGGTGATTCGCTATATGGACATTGGGCCAATGAGTGACTGGCGTCCGGATGGGCACCTGCAGAACTGGATAGTGGTGAGAAGTAAGTGATCTCATCTGCTGTATTCGTACTTGGGATTGCCTCGGCTTTGCAATTCGGGATGTGGATGTGGATCGGTGTTTGACTTGCAAACTATTAAGAAGTGGATTATGCAGGTGCCCGCTGGGGCTAGCTGGAACATGGCTGGTGATGTGAGCCTTGGAAAGGAAATGAGCCTGTATTGCAGAAAGTGACCAGATGCTTGTTATTTTGGGGTGTTTAATAACCCACTTTAACTATGCTGCATGCTCACCCTCGCAGGTGGGTCGACCAAGAAGAATGATTGTCTGCACTGGTGTGAGGCTGGGGTCACGGATGCATGGTTGGAGATGATCCACAATACACTTCTCTTTTGACACGCAGTGTTGCAGGCACCTGAAGGAGTGTACTAGTGAAGTTAGCCTGAAGGCTCACATAAGTGTTGTACAGTGCTGGAGAAATGAGAGAATTGTTTGCTGAACTGCTCAAGCACAAGCTTGAGCATTCCCCATCACCAGCAGCAGGCTTTTGTGGAGCTAATGACATAGGCAGCTGGATACATTAATTATTTGCAAACGAACAGAATGGAAACCCCGAGTGTTGGCTTGTCTGGAACATATCAACAGATGGCTGGCTATTGCCGGCTAGTGTATGACCTAGGGTTAGGAGGGGGGAGTGCTACGACATGATTGAATGGGACAGTCCTGCGAGGTACACCTTCTACACCCTCCTCTTCATCATCGTCAAACTCCAATGAATAGCTGTAGAGATAAACAAAAGGGCAAGCTGCATTGAATCAAGGTGTGAAGGAGGTGGGGCGGAAGGGAAAAATGCCTTACACTGGACAAGCACTGGAAACCCAGGGCGATGACAGGGGTGCTAGAAAAAGCTCAGCGTGATGGGTTTGTAACGTGAATGTAAAAGTTCTTACTCATCGCTTTTCCGCTGTTGATGGCGCCATGCCATCGCATAACAAGCAAGATGTCAAATAGGGCATCAGAGGAAGAGTTTAGGTTAGTGGGCATGGCAGAGGGAGGTTCAATAACAGGAAAAACAGTGGTGGGCATGCCATAAGTCACAAGGCGAAAGTAACTGCCAAGGAACTGAGATGCATGGAGATCAGAATGATGTAGCCTGGTTTTGAGCACAGGAAGGTCACAATATTTGATAATAATTGATGAGATAAGCGGACAGAAATGGGGCACGCTGGCCCCAGCTAGCACCTACCTTGCGTGGTTGCCCAACCACTGTTGCTTGATAAAGTGCAGTGGTGCTGGGGAAAACCGCGAGCACTCTGGACCCAGGAGGAAAGTCGGAGGCTGACATCCACTCGTTGCGCTTGTGAAACGGGATGATGCAGGAGCCAGACAGGCGGTACTTTCTGTGTTTTTGGGAAACAGCGGAAAATATGCGCAGAGAAGAGTTTCCGGGATGTATTGGTATGTTTGTATTCTGCCTGCATTGGCAAAAATTTGCTAGATTCATTGCTGGTTACAAAGTGCATCGATTGTGAAAAATCTTTACACGCCAGTGCCTTTTTTTTCTGCGCTCACCTTTGCCCACCCTCATCCTCCTCCCCTGGCTCCTCATCAATCACGTCAAATCTGCAAAGGAAGGTACGGGGGTAAGAAGGTACATGTAACAACGAAAAATAACCTCCGAAGTTGGAGCAGTAATTTCATTCTTTTTACAGGAAAACAATATGACTCTCACCTGTTTGCCTCCCGGTCGATGCGGAGGACCTTTACAACAATCCATTCATCCTTGCCATCCTCAGTGGCAGACACTCGTGCTGCGACCTGATTTGAGGTGAGAGGAAGAGAGAGTCTGAATTCAGGCGGCAGAAAGTCCACACATGTACTGCGTTCACTTGGACTTCCTCATCTATATAACGTGCCACACATCTTCGACCTCACCTGCTCTCCCACCACAACCCGTGTCAGGGCAACCGCTGACGCTGCAGAAGCGCCATCATTGAGGCCAGCAGCAGATGAGTTCAGCCCTAGGGGATTTCCTGGACCACCATCCCCACCAGCTGCTCCATCAGCAACTGGAACTGTACGCTGGCGCTTCTTTCTCCCACCTTCCAGAGGACCATCTGGACGCCAAGGGGACAAAGAGGATAATGATAAGCGGAGAATAGGTAACAATCACGGCTGTTGTTATTTTGAAGTGTTGCTGTACAGAGTGACTGGAAGGGGTGCGATAAATCCCACTATGTAAACCTGAAGTCTGGATTCCTGAACACTGAACACGCAATTGCAATAACCTGCCTGATTTCTTTTTAGTTCCGTGCGGAGCTGAAATGGCTGAAACTTGTGATGGGTCGAGTTCTCTGATGCAAGAGGTACAGAGACTGGAACGGGGGAGCAGAAACGTACGAAGTCGAAGTAAATCAGCAAGTGATCAAATTGCATGAACGTCGGCGAAGAATGCCGTGGCAGGTAACACGCTCTCAAGCATGACGGAACGGGAGCAATGCAAAAGTGTGCCGAATATTTTAGCGCACCTTTCTTCAAGATCTGCAAGGCGTTTGGCCTCGACGTAGAATCCCCGTAGCTTTATCCACAGCTTCTCTCCAAAGCGTTCTGCCGTCTCTCGTGCTGCACTCGCTCAGGAGGATGGATGGCACACGCACGAACAAGTTATGAGCCAATAAAAAGAACATTCTACGCATGAGAACGACGCCCATTACGTACGGGTTTGGCTTAATTTAGAGTGAATTTTATTAATCTTCTTCACAACAACGTCCTGCTCCCGTCGAACGCGATCTAGCTCGCGAAATTGCTGGACAACTGATTCAGGCAGTGGTGTTGTTGTGGCAGCCATCGAGCGGAAAGTCGGTGCAAGCTTTGTTCTGACAATGTGGCGGCGGCCAGTGGAAATCAGCAAGTGGGCAAATGTGCTTCCACATATTTCGCTTGTGTCAATTTTTGTTCAGTGGTGGATTCTTGCTAGGGGAAAGCTGTATACGCACTGTAGAAAAAACATTGTAGTCGAGCGAATTTGGTTACTGCTAACCCCGATGTTCTGCACTTTGCTGCAACCACCGGAAGGGGTTACGCTTCAGCGAAATTCGTTGGTAGCAGAAGCGGCCTTCGTTGAAATGGGAAACCCAAGACGTCCCCTAGGCTAGATGGTCGCATCCAGGGGCTCGACGAAACAATGTGGTTACACTTGTTCGTTTGGGACGCAGGCTGACAAGCCACAACGGCCGCCTTGGGTTGAAATTTTGTGTTGATCATCGCAACTATCATTCAAGCCAGAAATCGTAGTGACAAACGAGTAGGCTCCCTGTGTCATGGCTGGGATCAGGGATGGTTCTCCCGTCTCTAATAGACAATGGCCTCTTGTTACTTTCCAAAAGCGCGAAAGAATCGTCGTGCTTATTCTCCTAATGCTGGTTTGTGGAGTGATCTACCGTCTTTCTTTATTTCCAGCGGGAACTGGTTCATGGCATCGCCGGCTGTCCTGGAAAGCAGGAAACAACATAGAGGGCATTGTGGATCATGCAAGCGTCCTTGCCGTGACATCAGAAGGTCAATATGACTCATCTCTCGATATGCACAATGAAGTCCAACCGTGGCAGGTGATTAGTCCTCTTCTGAGCTCATTTTGGCCAATGCTTCTGATTGGGGACGTCTGATCCTGGAATTAATCAGGCACCCGAGATCCCTTTTGTTGCCAATCAAATGATGAAACAATATGGAAGACTCGACACCAAGGCCAAAAAGGATTGCAAGCTAATTCGAGACACTAGCGCGGTTCTGTGGAAGAATCACTCCAACTACGACGTTTTGACGCGATGGAGGTCTCCTGGCATTCCAGGATCGTTCTTCGACCACGCAATCAGCTTCAGATATAAGAGGATGGAAGGTGTATCTCCTCGGCTGAAAAACTATCAGGCAAGAAGCTAACTAGACCTGTGTTTATGGGATGGGATGCATTGTTCCTAACGCATGGCACATCCTTTCAGTGCCGACTTCTTGTCAGAGGACAAGATTATGAGGCTCTCAGGCGCCTACCAGTGGTACAGTCTATCCCCTTCACCGACCAGCAGCTAATAGGTCCAGTGTTTACCGATGAAAAGTTGCGTATGATTGCGGTTGTCTTCCCTCAGGTATGTGAGCATTTGCTTCTTCGTTCTATTGTGTTCTATCGTCTTGATAAACCCTTTTCCCGTGTAGTACCATGCATTTAAGGAAAATGATTTGTTTTGGGGAACAAGCTTCACCGAATGGACAAACTTGAAGCTGGCATATTTCAACCCATGGAACTTTCAACCCATCAAACATCCTATTGAAGCTTACGGAGGTTATTATAACATGCTCAGCCATTCCCAACGGTCAAGAATGGGAAAGCTGGCAAGGTTTTATGGCATCCATGTAAGAATATCACAACATCCTTTGTTTCTGTTCCCTTTTCTCTTGAGGCAACTTCAGAAATGAAGATGTTTTTTCTTCTTTTTTGGCAGGGCTTCGCATTTCATCATTACTGGTTTGAGTGCAACACTGTATTTATGGAGTCGGTGATTATGGAAATGCTGAAAGATGGACAGCCAGACCTCCCTTTTATGCTCATTTGGGCAAACGAAGCCTGGACAAGGCATTGGACAGGAGAGACAGGCGAAGTACTTCAGTCGCAGGTAATAACATTTTTATCGAAGGGAGCTGCACGCTGTGATGTGATGCAAATGCACTGAATTTGTGATCCTTTGTTGCAGAGCTACGGGAATGAGACATGCTGGCGGTTGCATTTTCAGTGGCTTCTACCCCTTTTCAAGCACCCTAACTACATAAAGGTCAATAATAAGCCGGCCTTTGGAATCTACATCATCCCCCTTATTAAGGAACTGAAGCCAATGCTGAAGTTGTGGCGATCGCTTGCCAAAGAGGAAGGTTTGCCTGGCCTCCATATCATCCAGTGCCTGGGCCATAAAGACACAGGTGTTTCCAGAAATGTCAACGCTATTATGGAGTATCAGCCCAATCTTAAAAAGGGGCGGATGAAGACTGAATCTCCAACAAAAAGGCTCCACAAAACTCATTATCGGGGAGAATATCTTGGTTGGGACAACTTTCCAAGGCACAACCTCGACCCGCATTTTGTCGTTGGGGACCTTGATGATGATCCTGTTCATGTGGAGGCAAGGCTGGAGGAGAGATTTAGAATCGCTCGAAATGATGCGAACAATGGAACGACCCCCAACCTCTTCTTCCTCACTGCATGGAATGAATGGGGTGAGGGAAACGTTCTGGAGCCAAACAACATATTTGGGTAAGTCTTTTTTCTCTACCAGGCAAGCTAACACTTTATGTTCACCAGGCCTTATACCTTGTTTGTGCAGATACGGAAATTTGAATGCGGTTGCACTGGCATATGAGAGCAGCAAGCATGAAGCCAGCAATGACATCGGCATTTTGAACAAACTGCACGAGTCTATGGACGAATGCAGATTGAAGCTGGACATTCAGTACTACGTTGATCTTGCTGGTGCAGACCTCTTTCATCTACTGAGTGGTCCAGAACCGGAAATGAGGGTAATCGAGAACTGGCAGACAGAAGGCTTCAGCAAAGGCAGAGAGTTCAGGCTTGTGAGTGAGCTGGAGGATTCTGCTTGCATTGGGAAAACGAATTGTCAGTTTCTGTGTGGAATGACGCTGGACAAACACACGGTGAGATACCTGCTAGAGGTGTACCGTGAAAACTTGGGGCGTTACCATGAGAGCTCCTTGAGTGAACTTTGATGGAAATAACCTGCTTGGTATGCATGTACGTTGCTGTAGCTTCTTCTTGTATTTTAATATGCATATTCAGACCTGCCTTTTCTGTTCGTTAATCAGTCCTGAACAGTTTCGATTGGAATTTTTGCTATGGGGAAATAGCAACACATTCATAGGTCTTTTTTGTTAGTCTAGCCTGGAATTGTTATGTGTTTTTGTGTGACTTATCGAGGTACATGTAATCACCTCTTCACCTCACCACAAACACGATACATCACTTAGCACCGTAGTTAGCCAAGTCCAGGGTCAAAACCAGAGCAGCACCAAAAGATGATGACACTACATGCTGTCCTCAAAACACTTCATCATTCTCAAGCAGAAGCAGCACACATCTCTCCTGTTTTCCCGCACTATGCTTTCTTCGCTAGACGCAGCGCTCGAATCAGCTACTGGTAGGACCTCATGCTTTAACCGACGGGAGGTTTAGTCTTTATAAGCTTTCCGTAATTTCATCCGTACGCTTTCCTATTTCATTGTCTCTTTGTTGGTTAATGCATCGTACACATGTTGCTTTTGCTTATCTTGCGCCTCGTGCACTATGTTCTCCTTAGCTTCTTCCTCTTCGCTTACTATTGCAGGTCCACGCACGGCTGCCTTTCAGCCGAAGCTCAAGCCACGAGCTAGGAAGGGAGGAGCTGGCGGAGGGGCAGGTGCTGAAGCAGCTGCGCCCACAGGACAATCTGGCCCAGCAGCCGGTCCATCGGGAGGGCGCACTGCTCCAGCGGGAAATGTAGCGGGAGTTGCGCAGGCGGTAGCGCCTACAGCCGCTGCAGCTGCTACTGTCCTGTCGGGACGAACATCAGCACCAGCGCAACGCCCCCTTCCCGACGCTCCGACTTCCGCGCCACAACTACCTTTCCGGTCTGCAGCGCCAGAAGCTCTTGGCCGGGGCTCTCCTGCACCATCCCCTTCGGCAGCAGTAATTGCCAGGGGGACTCATCAAGCAGAGGGGTTAGGTTCGGTTCAAGGGGGTTTTGACGCACCTTCCAGAACTGCCACTGCTGCCCCTTCCCCCGCCGCCACAGCAGCCACCGGTGCAAGAGCGTCATCAGCATCTGTCCCTGCTGCAGCTCCCACCCCTCCCTCCTCCCATGCTCCTACTCTGCCCTCTCCCCACGCGTCCGCTCGTACCCCTCCGCGTGCTCCTGCGCCTGGCTCCCTAGAAAACGGTCCTCATAGAAATGCCGCGCCTGCATCCCATGCTGCAGCTGCTGGTGCTACTCCTGGCACTGCCGTGGGAGCAGCAGATGCAGTGGTGCGAGGGATTGGGAGAGGGAGGGAGAAGGAGAAAGGGACCTCTGGGGGTGATAAGATCCGAGGCGTGATTGGGTCGGGAACCAAGGGAGTGTTCTTCCCACACTCATTCCGGAAAGGAAAAAGGCGTAAGTATTCCTGTCTAAAATCCTGAACCCTCAACCTGAATTACTAGACCCCAAAATGTTACGTAATCTAAAAATTTGGATTCAGCCGCCTGAAATCCTGACGTTTGCAACAAGGCATGCTACGCCTTTCCGCCATCTTGCTTCCCAACCTACTTCACAGGCCGCACCCGAACAGCTGACAACAGAGGGCATTGTACTTCCGGCTTGAAAACAACCATTCCCCACCCGTCTCGCAATCCCCCCTTCCCCCCTCCTTTCCCCTCCTCTTCCTCTTCAACAACCACCCCCTTCCCTCCCTACCCTCCCCCCCCCCTCTCCCCCCCCCCCTCCCCTTTTTCAACATCCCTGGTTCATCAGGCTCACAGGTGACTCCGGAGCTGCTGGCAGCAGAAGACCTGTCAGGCTTTACCATCCAGCAGATCATTCAGCGATCCGAAGTGCTCGACCGAGAGGTGAGAGAGTGAGGCGCTTGGGTCAAGGTAGGCAGGCTTTTGGACAGGTAGGCAAGAATGTGGGTAAAAGTAGGCGATCATGTTTTCAGTTTCACGATTCAGCAGATCCTTCAGCTCGCCCAAGTGCTCAACAAAGAGGTTGGAGAGTGAGGGGCTTGGGTCAAGATAGGCAGGCTTGTGGAGGTGCAACGTTGATGGAGGTGCGTTCTCAGGAGGCGGAATGGCCTTTGATGCAGAGGCTTTTATTATTTTTATTATTATCTTTTGTTCTCCCCCACACTTGCACTCCTCCACCCCTCCCATATCCCCTCTTCCCCTTTCCCTACCCTCCCATCCTCCCCACCCCCCACGCCCGCCCGTCCCCGTCGCCCTCACTGTGTGCGCGCAGAAAGAGAAGGAGGAGCAGGAGAAGAAGCGGATAGAGGAGGAGGTGGAGCGCAACAGAAGGAAGCTGGCGAGGAGGCGAGGGGAGGATGTGGATGAGGACGGCGAGGGGTATGTGCAGGAGGGTGCTGCGGAGTATTGAGGTGGAGATAGGTTGGGAGGGTTTAAGTGGTGTGCTGATATGAAGGGGGGTGATGTGAGGGGATGGTGTTGTTGAGGGGTGGGTGATTGAGGGGACTAAAAGTGAGAGGTTTGGACAGGTGGAAAGGGGAGAGACAAGCAGGGTGGTGAAGAGGAGTGTGGGAGTGTAGAGGGAATGCTCAAAGAGAATAAATATGCGGCGTTGAGAAGAAATCAAACAGTTTCTTCCCGCATATACCCCCATCCTCCCACCCCCACCCACCAGCCCCCGTGCCACTGCTCCTGCCAGCAACCCCCCACCTGGCAGCAGCGGCGGCGGCGGTGGTGGCGGGGGGGTGTTTGCTCCACAAGTGACGGTGATAGACGGGCGTATTGTGGTGAACGAGGCGAGTCTCACGGTGGATGCACAGGGAGGGAGGGACGATGCGATGGAGGGGTACAAGCGGGTGGAGGAGAGCAGTGCACGGCTCAACTATGGGACGCATATGAAGAGGGAGAAGAGCGACCGATGGAGCGTGGAGGAGACGACTCTGTGGTACCAGGTGGGTGACTGGTTTGAGACACCATAGCAGAGGTTGCATGCACGGTGGCTCAGCTACAGCACGCATATGAGGGGAGAGAAGAGCGACGGGTGGAGCGTGAGAAGAGTCGACTCTGTGGTACCAGGTGGGTGACTGCTTTGTGGCACCTCAGAAATTGTTTCCAGCCTGTAAGGCTCAACTACGGGCACCTGCAGTTGAGCAGTTTGGCACGAGAGTTCAAGATGCTGGGGGCAATCTTTCCTACGCCACTCCATTCTCCGCTGCTGCCCTGTCTCCTCGTTCTCCCTCCCCGCGCTGCAGAAGTTTGGCGCCTGCAGGACTTTGAAATGCTGCAGGCGCTCTTTCCTTACTCTACTTCCCCCTCCCTCGTTTCCACCCTCGATACTCCTGTGATTGCCACCAGGCGCTGCAGCAGTTTGGAACGGACTTTGAGATGCTGCAGGCACTCTTCCCTAAGCGCTCTCGGAGGCAGATGAAGGCCAAGTTCAAGCGGGAGGAGATGCTGCACCCACACCTCGTCACACACGCGCTCACACACCGATGCACAGGTGGGTTACAGCTGGGAACGATTTCTCTCGCACACTCACTACTTGCAGCAAGTGATTCGCGGGTTGTCGCGCATTATCTCACACATAGACGCATATAAGTATGGAGTCAGGCCTCCTTCAAATCATAATTCTCCACCATCCTTCCCTTCTTTCCCTCCTCCACCTCATCTTCCATCCCTTCCATTCACGTTCCACCAGATAAGCAGCAGTACGAGCGCCTGGCCTCAGCCCTCAACCCCCAGCTGGCGTTGCAAGTCAGAGAAACACTGGCCGGCTCCTCTGCCTCTCCTCCTGCTCGTGCCTCTATTGCCGCCGCTGCTTCTGCTGCTGGTGCTGCTGCTCTGAGGGGGAGGGCGGAGGCAGGCAGGCAGAGGGTAAGCCGGCGGCAGCAGGGAGGAGCAGTGTTGGGAAGGCCTGGGGCGGCTGTTGCTGCTGCCACTGCTGCTGCTGCCAATGCCCTCCACAACATAGCTGCCTCTGCTGCTGCTGGTGCTGAAATGGATGACGGTGCTGGTAACGAGGAGGTTAATGAGGAGAATGAGGGCATAATCGAGGAAGTGGAGATGGAGGAATGGAGAGCGGTGGCAGCAGAGCCTGCAGGAGAGGGGGAAGAAGGAAGGGCAGAGCTGGGAGTAGATGGGCTGGGGGAAGCCCATGGAGAGGGTGAGGGAGTGGGTGTGGACGGTGGGGAGGAGGGAATGGGTGGTGAAGGTGACTATGGGGAAGGTGACTATGGAGCTGGGGCGGATGGAACAGGGGGGTATGGGGTTGTGACACAAGAGAGCGTTGCAGTGACTCAAGCAGAAGGTGACTATGGCGAGGCAGAGTATGGGGAGGGGGAGGAGGATATGGGAGGGACGATAGGGTATGAAGACCCGTTTGCAGCGTATGGAGATGGGGAAGTGGAGGAGGAGGATCCATTGGGTGGGTATGGCTGATGTGTTGATAGCAATTCAATGCTGGGTAGGAGATGGGATGGGATAGGATGGGATGGTCAATAGGTTATGAAGACCCGTTTGCAGCGTATGGAGGGGACGGGGAAGTGGAGGAGTAGGATCCCCTGGGCGGGCATGGATAATGTGCGTGATAAAAGGTAGTTTTTGAGACGTCTCAAAAGCACTCTTCTAACGCGTGGCTACTCGTTTGCTGCGTATGGAGGGGTCGGGGAAATGGAGGAGTAGGATCCCCTGGGCGGGCACAGATGACGTGCTGATGCACCTATATCTTGGTGGTCAACCCATGGTGGTAGTCCTAGAAGAAGCATGGTTCATATAACGTATTAGCTTCCAAGGTCTGATACCGGTAGTTACAACTGAAGAGCAGAGCCACAAATCAAGCAGCTGGAAACTGCACCCCACTGAAAGAGCCCACTGCCCTTTTCCCACCACCTGGTTCATCCGCTCCCCCGCCATGAAATCCCACCCCAACTTCCAACCATGGTCATCCAAGCTCTCACACATCATGAAACTCCACTTGCCCCTCCTGCACCTCCCCTTGCCAATTTGCGAATTTTCTTACCAAGCTGCTCTACCACTCAACAAACTTGGCTCCTTGGCTGATTCCCCTGCTCTGCTGAAATCTAAGCAGCTTCGCTTATTCAATGTTTGAGAATTAAACTCCAGCACAACAATTCATACTAATGTTTCACTAAATCAGTGTGCTTTGCCCTGCTGTGCCCTCAAAGCTCTTGCTCTTAGAGACTCCTCGTAGAACTCTGATAGGCCGTAGTAGTCACTGCAAGTCATACAAAAATGAAGCAGAAAGCGCAGAGCAGATGACAGACAGATGGGAGAGGAATACAAGCTCAGTAGAATCCAGAGGCACCTCACAGACAGAAGAGGAGCGGAAAAAGTTAAGGCGGTACCAAGAAAGAGGAATGATGTGAACTGACCAGAGCTGTGGAAGGGTTTGGCAGCGGTTGACGCATCTGCCCTCCCCTATCTCATAATTGGCATGATGGATGATCATCTCGCGGATCACATGCTTCGACCACTTGTAGTCATTGTCCCACCGCACACACTGATGGTTGGGGGGTTTGAAACGATACGAGAGGGGAGAGGGAAGACAAAGGAGAGTTTAACACTGGTTTGAACATCTGCCCAAGCCTATCTGGCTTGTTAGTCAATAGTTGGGCAAGGTGGAAGATCATTTCCCATATCATGTGCTTCGACCGCTTGTAGTCATTGTCCCACTGTGCGCACTGCCAGTTGTAGAGTGAGTTTGCATCAGCAGGTGGGGAAAGACAGGAGAGACCTGGCGCCAGTTGACAAACCTCAGAGTTCAAAGCAGCAGGGGAAGGCAAGAGAGAGCTGGGAGCTGGTTAATGTGGCAGAAGAGCAGAAGAGGCAACTGGTGTCAACCTCTCAGCGTTACCCTATGTTCCTTCCTCCCACCACCTCCCAGTCGCACCTGCCTCAGAAACAGCCTCTTCACCACCTCCCAGTTCTGCTGCCCCTCTGGCCGGAACACAGTTGGGTTCCAGAGAGCTCCGCGTGCTGCCATGGCTGACGCCGCTCCTGATGGGTGGATGGAGAGTCAGGGACGTGCAGGCATGGCAGGGAGGGGAGGCATGGCATGAAGGGGAGGTATCCATCGAGATGTCTTGAAGCATAGTAGGGTTTCACAGAGCCGCTCGCGCTGCATGGCCGATGATGCTCCTGATGGGTTGATGGAGAGTCAGGGAAGAGGGGCATGGCAGGGACGAAAGGCATCTTTTGAGACGTCTCATAACACAGTTGGGTTCCACAGTGCTGCACGTGCTTCCCATGGCTGATGACGCTCCTAATGGGTGGAAGGGAAGACAGGGAAGTACAGGTAAGGTATGGGAAGAGAGGGTGGCAGGAAGGAGAGGTGCAGACAGAGGAAAATGCAAGAAGGTGAGCAGGAAAGAAAAGCGTTTCTGCTGTGGAATGGTGCACTATGATACAGCTGCCATCCTCACCTGTTGCGACAGCCTCCCTTCCCATCTGTTGCTCTTCTTACATATTGCTGCTCGGATTGAGTCGAAGTCACTGTGCAGCAGACGTTCCGATTGGCAATGACTGGAGGGGGAGCGACAACACCACTGCAGGGAGCGCTACAGCGGCCCTTTGCACCTGTTGTTACAGCTGCTCTTCTCACCTGTTGCTGCTCGGATGGAGTCAAAGTCACTGTAGGAGAAAACATCCCCATTGGCAATGACAGGGAGGGAGAGCGACGACACTACTGCAGGGAGTGCCTCCCACTGCGCCTTCATTGACGGGCGATGAGGAACCTTCCTGGAAAGCAGCAGTGGAGAAGGGGGCCGAAAGAAATTGAAGGGGGAAAAATGAGCAGTTTCGAGAGTCGACTATTTGAATGCCGATTTGGGGTTGGAGGGGGGGGGGGGGGGGGGGGGGAAGGGGAGCGACGATAACATAGTGTTTTGGACCCTTACTACCTTGAATGTTTGTCAATCACCTTCCATGTATTCCCCCATCACCTCGCATGAATGCCCAGAGCAGAGATGCCTGTGCTCTCAACAGCCCGGGCGAAGTCGATTGTCCGGTGGGGCGAGTCGAGTAGACGGATTTTGCAGGTGAGTGCGATGGAGGCAGGCAGGTTGCGACGCACGGTGGTAAGGATCTGATGGACGGGTTTTAAAGGAGTTTGGAGGGGTTTGAGAGATTTTTAGAAAGAGGTTAGAATGGATTTGACAAGTAAAAGGGATGGGCGGTTTAGGGACGGGATGAGAGAGCACGTGGATAATGCATGGGGAACAAACTGACATTTTACAGGTAACACGGATTTCATACCAACCACAGAATACAGACCACACAAAACAAACTCAATGCCCTGGGTGGCACCAGAAAAACAGGTGAAATGCCCTTGACCCACGTCACATGTGAACCCAACCGTGAGAGCGGATTAGAGGGCATGCCACATGCAACCTGGTAGTGCGCTCTTCTAGTGTCTGACCTAAACCTTAAACCCTCAACCTCAGGCCCGAAACCTAAAATCTAAGGGCGTATCCCTGGGTGGTGGCAGGGCCACTGTAGCAGGCACTGTTGGTGGCATGCGGGAAAACCGCATGCCACCAACATTTTGCCCCAGGCGCGTGCGACACGGATTTGGTGGCATTTTTGGGACATTGCCCAACCACGTACCTGTATTTGCGCGCCTGTTTCCTGACACCAACCTGACGTTTTATGTGTTCGTGGCAGGCTGCCATCCACAGTGGCCCTGCCACCACCCAGGGATACGCCCTAAAATCCTAAATCCCTGGACTCACATCACATGCGTTTTCTGGGCGGGAGAGCAGAGCAGCACCCATGCCGCCACTGGTGGAGAAGGGCTTGGGGCACCCCATGTTGATGTCTATTGCTGCCACGTCGTTGCAGCTGGCATTAAAATTAGACATAAGACGGGTGGGAGGCGGTAGGAACGATGGGAGTGGAGGAATTGAGACGGGCTCGGGGCACCCCATGTTGATGTCTATTGCTGCCACGTTGTTGCAGCTGGGGATGATATGAGGTGAGGTATAGGTTGGTGGGGATGGGAGTGCAGGGGCGACACGAGGCAACGAGTGGAGCATGGTGACGATGCAATTGAGAAGGGCTTGGGGCACCCCAAGTTGATGTCTATGTCTGCCACGTCATTGCAGCTGGGGATGGGAATGCAGAATACAGGGGCGAGATGGACAGACATGGAGGGGGGGATGGTGGTCATGGGATTGAGAAGGGTTTGATGCACCCCATGTTTTGAGTCGACTCAAAACCACCCCATGTTGATGTCTACGGCTGCCACTTCATTGCATCTGGTTATGGGAGGGCAGGGGCAAGATGAGACACATGAGATGATACTTGAAATGACACATGAGCCGACAGACGAGTTGCGCAATGAGTCAATACATGGGATGAGACAAGCATTGACTGGCTGAGGCACAGACCTCGGACACAAGGCGAGAAGGAAGAGAAGATCAGAAAGGAGAGAAGATGAGACGGTAGAAGAGATAGAAAGCAGAGAAGATAGAAGGTAGAGAAGATGAGTGGAGCGAGAAGGTGAGAGGAATGAGAAGGGGACACAGGTTCAAGAGGGGAGCAACTGACACGATTTCGGCAGCCCTTAAAGCCCGGACAGCATCAGCAGTGCCGATCTGGAAGGCCACTCGCGTCCTCTCCGCCTCACACGTGCGGAACACCACGATGCCCGTGCTGGGCTCCACGAAGTCAACGGAATTCAACGCAGCTGGGGGATGGAAGCGGGGCGGGGAGGGGGAAGGGGAAGAGAGGGAAAACCACAGTGCCGTGCTGAGTTCAACGAAGTCAACGAAATTCAACGCATTTTGGGGATGGGAGAGAGAGGGGGGGGGGAGGGGAGGGGAAGAGAGTGATGACGCCCGTGATGGGTTTAACAAAGTCAACAGAATTCAATGCAGTCGGGAACAAAGTCAACAGAATTCAATGCAGTCGGGAACAAAGTCAATAGAATTTAATGCAGTCAGGGGATTGTAGAGAGAGAGAGAGAGGGGTGGGAGAACGGGAAGAGAGTGAAAACCACGATGCCCATGCTGAGTCCAACAAATTCAACGGAATTCAACACAGCTGGGGGATGGGGTTGGATGTGGGAAGCAGAGGGGAGAATGGTGCTTGTATTCTCTGCTTCCCAAGCCAGAGGTAAGCCAATTGTTGGTTGCTATGAGGAACAGGTACGACACGTATGCACAATGTGGTCCATCACCTCCTCACTGTTTGTAGATGCGTAAAATCCCTAAATGCTTTTATATATATTACATTTTGTATCACTCACAATTCACCACTCTCTTGCACTGTACAAAGCGGTGGTCGATCACCTCCTCGCTGTACACCATATCCGCGCCACAGTCCAGAGCCAGCAGCCGGAATGCGAGAGTATTCTGGGCGGCACGAGTAGGGGGAAAGGGTTGGGACGGAATAGAATTCTGAATTGAGCCGACAGGAAGGACAAAAAGTTCAGTCCACGAAAAACAATACACGTTCTGAGACGCCCGAAAAATTGCCTCAGGATAAAGGCGCTTTAGACGGGAGACGGACATGGGAGGAGTGAGAGAAACTGCTTTACACTCGAGTAAAGAAGGGACCGAGCAGTATTAAGAAGGGTCACGTACCACTCTAACCATGGGAGCGAGGATGTTCATTCCTCTATACGTCAGCTCCCCTTCTCCCAACGGAGCTTTCCCCAACTCGTTGTAACCAGGTAACCCTGGCGCCCCCACGCCTCCTTCGTACATGTCGTCCGTAAATACGAATGGTTCGTCGGCTGGTGTCCCACCGTCAGTTAACGTCCCGTCCGCCAAGTTGGGGGTCGTCATGTCAACGGCAGCTCCGTTGAACCGAGTTTCGGAGGGATACGCGTTACAAGAAGATGCTCTATCAGACGAATTAGTAGCGCAGGAGAGCTCAAAATCGGGCCTGCTTGTGATACGAAGCGTCATGGCGACTGGCTTGTGATTCACGGCTCCAACACACAGTTACAGTTTCATAGAATGCGCCAGTTACTCCACAACAACACAGAGGCTTCTTACTGTTTAAGATCTTATGTCGCGAACGCGAACGTAGCGGCTGCTTGTTGAAAGAGCAAAAGCTGGAGTCGCGACTACCTACCCACCACACCAGCTGGAATTCAAGGTGTGGTGCATTCGCTGTTTCAATAGCCGCGCTGGACCGCCAAAAGACACTGGGTGCTCTACGTTGCGATACGTTTGATTTCGGTTTGGCGTGATAACGCTGATTTCATCTTCTACTCCATCTTGATCATCCCCAAAACCATAACCACCCTCCCACAGCCCAATTTGCGACAGCTGATGCTTGTGGCGGGAATTTATCGCAAACAAGCGGTGGTCCCAAGGTTTGGGAGCACTCCATATCCGCACTACAAAGCGTTCGCATTCAAGCCGCAAGGCCTCAATCAAATAGAAGCTTACATATTTAGCATAAACGATTTGCAGCAAACACAACCCTAATCCCAGCTTTTTCAAAAGCAGTAAATAACGCTGGTGACTCTGGGGCTCCCACTAGATTTTAATGAGTACAACCAGTACTATCATAGTTCTACTATCTTTGGCTTAGCCTTATTGCCTCTTAAACTCCCTCTTCCCCGGCCCCCTTTCTTGACCTTCCCCAACCCCTTCTTTCTTTTGCCGCCATATCCCCCCTTGTGCTGGCCTGGGTGCATGTTCGCCCCCCGACCTCCCTTTTCTCCTCCCGCCCCAACACGAAACACCCCACAATCCCCACCAGCAACAGGACCGTCAAGTGAGCAGCCTAGAAGCACTTCCCCACCCCCTCCTCCACCTCCACTGCCAGCCTCCCCATCTTCCTCCATGGCTACACTCCTGTCTCCGACGCCCAAGCCATCACCTCCATTTGCATCAGCCCTTCGTATACCACCCTCATCCCCACCATCATCACCATCGGAATCTTCGCTCTCGGATTCCAATTCCGAGTCAGAATCGCTGCTCCCAGCCGCCCCCTCCTCGCCTTCCCCCTCCCCTCTGCCCACAGAGCTCCCCTGACCTGCCCCAGACAAAGCCCTCTCTGCTGCCGCCACGGCATCAGCCGTGCGCAAGTCAACCAGACCCACGGATAGGTCCTGCCAGATGTTGAGAGGGGGAGAAGAGCAGAGTGATGGGAGAGAGAAAAGGAGAGTGATGCCCTCAAGAGCCCCCCTGACCTGCCCCATACAAAGCTCTCCCTGCTGCCGCCACGGCATCAGCGGTGCGCAAGTCAACGAGACCCAGTGATAGGTCCTGCAGGTGGAAGGGGAGGGGGAAGAGTTATGAGAGCAGAAAGAGTGGTGAGAGCAGAGAGGGTAGCGAAAGCAGGGAGAGTGGTGACCGAGTGGTGAGGGAATGGGAGACTGATGAGCACAGGGGAGGGATGGACAGCCAAGAGAGGTGCGACGAACGTCCACTGACTCATCATGTCTACGTGCTGATTCACCATCTCATTATGCTGACTCACCATATCTAAATGCTGACCCACCATCTCTACATGCTGACTCACCATCTCAATGTGTTGCTGTGAATCGTCCACTGCCTCCATGCTCACCGCCTCCCGCCCCTGCTCCTGTGGGTGATCATGGGACCGAGAGGCAGAGGGCAGAGGCTCATCCCCACATGTATTCGCTCGTATGCATCGCTGACGCTCGGTGCAACTGCTGGTTCTTCTGCCCAATCTGGAGTGAAGAGCTGAGATTCTGAACCCATAACCACAACCACGTTCATGCAATTGCCTGCTTGCTCGTCACCGTTTTTCACCCATCCACGCCTCTTTTCGCCCATCCTTACCTTAATTCGCCCCTTTGTATCCCTTTGCAACCCTCCATACATACCTCTATGGCTCGCTGCAGCTTCTGGTTCTCCTGCTCCATCTGGGGTAAGAAGCCCCGCAGGCGAGCCAGCACTGGCAGCACACGCGAGGAGAAAGACACATGGAGATACGCGGGGAGATTGGTAGGGGGAATCTCAGAGAAAGACACATGGAGATACGCGGGGAGATTGGTAGGGGGAATCTCAGAGAAAGACACATGGAGATACGCGGGGAGATTGGTAAGGGGAATCTCAGAGAAAGACACATGGAGATACGCGGGGAGATTGGTAGGGGGAATCTCAGAGAAAGACACATGGAGATACGCGGGGAGATTGGTAGGGGGAATCTCAGAGAAAGACACATGGAGATACGCGGGGAGATTGGTAGGGGGAATCTCAGAGAAAGACACATGGAGATACGCGGGGAGATGATTAGGAGGAATCTCAGAGAAAGACGCAGGGAGATCCGCAGGGAGGTTTCACGGTTGGAGATTATTCAATCAGGTGCGAGGAGATGGCGCGACACAGGAAGTGTTGAGGCGCGAAGAATGTAGCCCGCAAGAGATTTTACGCCAGGAAGGAATCAGGGTTTGGAGGTTCCAGGGTTTAACTTCCAAAAACCCCGAGCCCTGAACCCCGGCCATGGTGAAATCTACATGCCACGAATTCGCGATTAGCACGGTAACGCACCTGAGCTCTCCCCAACCGGCGATGTGAACATAGCTGGCGGCGCTTGCCCTTGCCATGGTGGCTTCTGCTGCTGCTGCTGTTTCTGTGCGCCGCGCGGATTAGCTTTGCCTGGCTGTGCCAACAGACGCTCCACTGGAGTAAGAAGAGGAGAGGAGAGCCGCACGGGTGGTTACGTTGAGTCGACCGAACGAAAATGCGAAATGATGGTTGAAATCGAGGAGGCGGAGAAGGATGGAGGCCAGGGGGGAAAATGGCGAGGAAAGATACCTCATTTAAAAAAAAGATATTACTAGGAATGATATATCACACTGCTTTGTTAAGGTGATGCCTAGCGGAAACATGGCGTACAGAAAGGCAACGAATCCCCGCCGACAGTGAGTAGCTCTCTGCTAGCCGCGATTGACGCTGGCGGCTTTCTCGCACCGCTGTTAGCGCCTTCCGCCGAATCGGCCATCGGAAGGAGAGCGAAGGAACGAGCTACACGGCGATGCAGAACTATTGAACTAGTGGGAACTAGGGAAGGGAGATTGTGCCATAGAAATGGATGTGTGCATGTCGAGGGTTTTGGATGTTGGGAAGGAAGTTGGGTGGTTGGGGAGAGGGTGGAGCTGTGGGTGTAACCACCTTGCAAGATTCTGTGAGCTGGCGAGGTCTCCCAGAAGCGAATTTGGGTCTCTCGGTATAACTTCGTAACCAATGGAGTGTGCTTGTTGGATAGGGGTCCCACCAACCTGCGACCTGGACAGGCGATGCCACGGCGGCCGTTTCGCCGACGTTACTTGTCGCAGCCGACGTTGCTCTCACACAACCGAGTACAATTTCAGGGGCATCACAAACACTTACACAGGAGTCCACGACGATCACGGTGAAGGGAAACATTAGTGTTGGGGAAAGTATATCCCCGCTCCTGACTTTCAGATTTCTCTCATATTCAGCCCTAGGTTTACTCAAAAAGCACCACTTTCTAGAATTTCTCTCACGCGAGGCCCAAAGTATGTTCAAAAGTGGTCCTGCGGGGCGATTTTTTCGACACGTGTCCTCTTGTTACACCATCTGACGAACTTCCACGCATGGAAAATTTGGACGGGGGCAAAAAACATAAAACCCCTAGAGAACCAGGACACATTCGCGGGAGGGATCAACCCTAAACACCTAGCAGGTCCCGTGTTTAGGGTTGCTCCCTCCCGAAAATGTGTAATGGTCCTTTAGGGGTTTTATGTTTTTTTGTCCCGTAAAAACTTTTCCGGCGCGAAAATTGCCCTGACAAACGGTTAGTTCAGAGTGGAAGTGCGTCAGCTGGTAACAAAACGACACGTGTCGAAAACTTCGCCCCGCAGGACCAGTTTTGAACATACTTTGGGCCTCGCGTGAGAGAAATAATGGAAAGTGGTGCTTTTTGAGTAAACATAGGGCTAAATATGAGAAAAAACTGAAAGTCAGGAGCTGGGATAGACTTTCCCTTAGTGGGGAAAGTATATCCCCGCTCCTGACTTTCAGATTTCTCTCGCTTTTCGTCGCCCAACTATACTGTACTGTATTCGGACACCCTTGACGCCCCCATGTGATTCTTCTCCAATTGGCCGATAGTGGTTGGCAGCAGTTACAACATCGTGGGGGCGGCAGGGCTATTTCGCCTCCCCTCGTAGCGCCTCGTTGCTCGCTTCATCACTCCTCTCCTCGCCTCGATCGCATCGCATCACTTTGCTTCGCCTCACCTCGCCACTCATGCTAATCGTTTCGCGAAGCACGAAAGGTGTTGGTAGCACTAAACCACCGAACCGAAAAATGGAGGGCAACTGTAGTCTGTGGGAGACGGAGCAGAGCAGCACTGCCTTAGCTTTGCTGCCGCATTGTGCTTCGTTATTATGCAAGTTACGTGCAGGTAGTGGCACAATCACCAGCTCGTCTACGTAACGCTTACCTCCTCCCCCAACAATCCGTTTCTTTATTTCGGAAGGACGCGGCATGACCGTACATGCCTAGAACACAGACTTCGGTTGGCGTTTCTTTTATATCCACCACAGTTCCCTCGACCTCGTCACACTTCCCTCGTGTTGTCCAGTACCAGGTCCAGAAACGCGCAGCTCTGCCAGGATAAGAAGCAAACGAGAACGAATGCTTCTAAAATATTAGTCCCCAAGCTCTTCCGACTCAACTCGCAAGTATGGCTACTGCAATTAACTCCGCCACGGCGGAGCATTCACCACTAGCCTCCGCCTCCGCCTCCACTCCCGCCGATTGCGCTTCCCGCCACCGCTCCCCCTCCCCATGCGCTGCGACCTGGTCGCTCCCTTTCCTCCACGTGGCTTCCTCTTCTTCCTCCGCCATGCTCCTCGTCCTCCCCGACGGCTCGGCGCGCTTATACACGGAGGAGCTGACCGTCGCGCAGCTCGCCTGCGACTTCCCCGATCTCGTCGTCAGCTGCTCTGCGATCGTCGCTGGTGACATGTGCGACGGGGAAGCGTGGGACGACAGCGACTCGAAAGCTGAAGATAATGAGACGAAGCCTCGAGGCGCGATTCTCCCGCGTGACACGGTCTTGCGATTGGGCGGGACGTACTATCTCTCGAACCGCGACAGTGCCTGCTCGGATACTGCTGCTTCTGGGACGATGAGCGATTCGAGACGTTGCAGCAAGCGCAGCAGTAGCAGCTACACTACTAGTAGCTCTGTTATCGAGGAGATACGCAATCGCGAAGATTACTGTACCAGTGGTGCGAGTATCAGCAGTGGCGGAGATGGCAGCAGCTTCAGTGGGGAAAGTTGGCGAACTTTCTCGAGTGGCGACGAATTTTTGTGTAACAGGTCGGATGCTGGTTCCAGTTACAGTGGTAACCTCTCAGCTGTGGTTTCGACTGGGAGCGAAAGCAAGCGCTTTTTGTCGAAAGAATGTGCGATAGCTTGTCACAGGCGATCACTGTCGCTCGTGTTCGCGGATGCGCAGATGCCTTCGCCACGGCAAGGCGTGCCCTGTAATGTTGGTAACCAGCAAGCTCGACGATCACTCACTCCCACCATTTCGCGCTCAGGCGAGCTTTCGCCCGTTCCCTCTCACATACGATCTGCCCAGCGACCTCCTGCGACAAGCTCCCCCGTCGTAAACCGTCGCCAGTTCCTTCGCACGACAACTCCGATGCGCGATCGTCCCATCGCACCTCGTCACGCGCGCACTCGCACGGAAATCTTCGGTGATGCTCCGATATTGACTGACTCACTTGTGGGTGATGCGCCCGTTGCTGGTTGGCGTGCTATAACGAGCGCTGATTGGACCTCGCTGCAAGACACTCTTCGCCAAAACAGGCTCCAGCTTCAGCGGTCGCAGCTACAGCAATCGCAGCTACAACCGTCGCAGCAGCCGTCGCTCATGGCTCACCGTCGCAGAAATCTCTCCGCCACCACCGCGGTTTTCCCTGCTGAATGGACGAGCGCCAATTTTTCCGCCCATCCTTCCGCCTCCGCTCTCCCCCGCGACCACATGCGGAGCCCCGGTCGCGCACGAGCGCAACTGGCGGCGCACGGGGCAAGCGGATGTAGCGCCGCAGCAGCAGGCATTGCAGTCGACCGTCCTGTGGGAACGTGCCACGTGGCAGTGCCAACTGGCAGGGCTCTCAGGCGGTGCTTCTCGCACACGGAGACGCGGGTGGGGGAAGGGCGGGTGGTCTGGTGGGGCGGGGAAGCGGAGCAGGCGCAAAGGCAGGGGGAGGCGGAGGCGCAAGTGGGGGGTGCGCATCAAGAAAACGACAAGACCAGGATTGACATTATTAGAGACTTAAAATCGGATGATTCGCACGGCGATGGCGTTGCTAACGGGACTGACAGTAACAAGGGTGACACAAACGATTCTCCTGATTCCCCTAATAGCACCAGCAGCGGTGATAGCACCGATAGCGAGGCAGATGCTAACGAGGCGTTTTGGGACTCCCCTCGCTGCTTCTTCTCCCCCCTCTCCCTCTCCCTCCCTCGCTCCCCCTTCTCTGCCTCCGTCCCCGCGCCCTCCCTCCTCTCTCTCACCAACACTCCCGCGAGCAAATCCACAGAATCACCCACTACAGTAACATCTGCTACGGGAACAGGTACTGCGCACGCATCTGTTACAGTCTCATCTCGCCCCGGCCATGCCCGTCGTCGTACCATGGATATATGCCTGCCTCTGCCGTCCCTCTCCCCTGCTCCTGCTACAGTCCCTACAACAGTTTCTGCCCGAAGAGGACCTTTTCCAGCTGCCCAGTCACCAAAAAAGACTCCTTCGGTCAGTGCAGGAAGTTCGGGAGGTGCTGCGGCTGCTGCTTTCTCTCCATCCCCTTTAAGAGCCAACTCGGGTGATGGGATAAGGGGTGCAACTACACCTACGCAGGAAAGCATTCAAAGCTTTAGCAGAAGCAGAGCGCTTCTAAGGAGTGTGAGCAGCAGAGAGCGGCAACGCAGCAGGGAGAATCTGCCGTGCAGCAATTTGGGTGGGACTAATTCCCCTTGCCCTGAGTCGAATTCAGGGTGTATTGCTGGAAGAAACCCCAGTCCATTGCCCTGGGTGCACGCCAGGGCAAATTCCCTCTGGAATTCGTTACCCCTGCCATCCTCTGCACCATTGGATGCTTCCTGGAAGGTGCAGGAGCAGAATACCGGTACTTGCAATAGCAATGGTGGCAGCACAAGTGATAGCTGTGGCAGCAGCAGCAGCAGCAGCAGCAACAGCAACAGCAGCCGCAAGTTCAGCTTGCTCAATTTCAAAGCTCTTTCCATTACCATCCGTTCAGGCAACAGCAACAACAGCAGCAGCAGGAACAACAGCTGCACAAACTCTCCTCACTCCCCCTTCTCTTCCTCCCCATCCTCAGAATCCCCCATCCCAACTGCAAGCTCCGTTTCCTCCTTTGACTCTTCCTTCAATTCATCATTCCCCCCCTCATCTTCTTCCTCTCCTGCCTCCTCCGCCTCCTCCCCTTCCTCCTGCTTCTCCCCCACACCCCTCTCCTCCCACTCACCCTCCCTCCCATCCCCCTCTCACACTGCCAGCGCCCACCTCCCCCAGAAACAACCCACCCCAAGCTTTCTCTCCCCAAGCCACCTCCTACCTCCCCTGGCCCACCCCTCCCTCAGTTGCACCTCCCCCACATCTCACCTGGACACCGTCAAACCCAGCTACGGCCACTCACCACACTCCACTGCATCCAACTCCTCCCCATTGCCTCCTCTGCCATCACCTTCAGGCCTGCCAGGGCTGTCAGTCCTGCAGGGGCATGGGGGCAGGGCACCCGTTTCGCCTCACTCCCTCGCAAAGGGAACGGGGAAGGTGGTCAGAGCGTCACGATTTCAGAGGCAGGAGGGGGAGGGGTGAAGCAGTTGTGAGTGTGGCTGTCAGCCCTGCAGGGGTACGTGGACCGGGCCTTGTGTCCCTCACTCCCTCTCCAAGGGAACAGGAAAGGTGGTGAGGGTGTCGCGATTTCAGAAGCAGGCAGGGGAGGGGTGAATGATATGGTGCTTCTCTGTACATAGCATCCTGTACTGTATAGCTGCTAACACTAATTGTTAATGTCATATCTGCATCTGTTGATACACCATGATACATTGCTGTATACTGGTGGCTATCGTAGCACTACAAACCTATTGACTTCACGTGCCATGTCGAACTGAGCAAATCACCTCGGTGTATTCTCCGCAGTTGGACTGGCGCTGGCATGTGACTAAATCTCAATCCCGCGACCCGCCCCTTCCTAGAACCCAGGAGACCGCTCCACACTCCTATGCCCCTCCCCTTGCCCCCCACGCCCCCATCCTTTTTCCCTCCCCAGGAGACTCATCCACATACCCCTCCCCCTCCTCGCCCTCCTCTGCCTCCTTCCCATACTCCACGCCTCCAGCTCCTCCTCCCCTTTCCCTCCCTACGTCATCACTCACTTCTCTCAACGCCCCACCCTCCTAGAACCCAGGAGATCGCTCCATGCCCCTACGCCCCTCCCCATGCCCCACCACGCCCCACGCCCCCAGCCTCTCCTCCCTCCTGGGGGATTGATGCCCGTACCCCTCTCCTTCCTCGCCCTCCTCCACCTCCTCCCCCATACTCCACGCCTCTAGCTTTCGAGACAAGGCCCTCAGGCGCTCCCTCTCCCTCTGCAGGTGCGTGCGAGCTAGAGTGATGTCCTGGAAGGGGCAGACATAGGGGAGGAAAGAGACACTCTCAGGAATCCCTCGCCCTCCTCCACCTCCTCCCCATGCTCCACGCCTCCAGCTTCTGAGACAGAGCCGGCGCTCCCTCTCCCTCTGCAGGTGCGTGCAGGTCCACCGCACCACACCATACCGAGGGCAGGTCTGAGAAGATTGCCAGGTGCAGCCGCCCCACCTCCTCCCCCTCCCTCTGCACCTCCAGCTAACCTCATCCCCTCTCACATCCCTTTCCACCGCATTGTACCACATCTCATCAAATCACGCCACACCACACCACAACGTACCCCACCACGCCGCACCACACCGTACCGTGGGCAGATCAGAGTAGATTGCAAGATCCTGCTGCAGCCGTCCCACCTCCTCCTCCTCCCCCTGCACCTCCGCTGCCAGCTGTAGCAGGGCGGCCATATCCACGTCAGCACTGTACCCCGCAGCTTCCAGTGAGCCCTGGGAGGGAAGAAAGGAATAGAAATTCGAGAAAGGAAAAGAAGAAAGGAGATTCATTGGCCCAGATGTATCAGGGCAGTCATGTCCACGTCAGCACTGTAGCCCGCAGCTTTTTGTGCCTCACCCACTGCTTGGAAAAAGGCGGCACTTCCTTTTCTAGCGTGCAGCCAGAGTCAACACCTGGATGTTTGAGTCGCCCGAGATTGCACCCGTGCTCGGAGCCTGTGCTCGGCATGTCATGGTGGCAGTGGTTGAATTCCTGGCCACGCTTGTTCTGCCAGCCATGCCATCATATCCACTTCACTAAAGACGTGGCAATGTAACTATGTCCACGTCGGCAGCACTGCAGCTCGCTGTCGCGAGTGAGAAGAATTGGGGAGCCTCGAGAATATCATCCATCAGTCTCCCCAACCCACTCACCCACACATGCACACTTAAGCATCATATTGCTGCAGGCTCAGCTGCAGCTGCTCCTGTTGAGGCCCCTCAAACGTCACCCCCTACTCCCCCTTCTCCGCTTTTCTCTCCCCACCCCACTCTCCCCCGTCCACTCATCCACCCACACCCATCCCACTCACGCACACCTGTGCGGCGGATCGCTGCAGGCCCAACACTTGGCTGCTTGTGCTATTGAGGTGCCTCAAACATCATTCCCCACCTGCTTCCCATGCTCAGCCTCTCCCACTCTCCACCCATTCACCCACACGTACCTTTGAGAATTCTCAAAAATACCCTTCAACATCATTCCCCACCTTCTTCCCATGCTCACCCTCTCCCACTCTCCAGTTTTGAGGCGCCTCAAAACTAGGCTTCCCATGCTCAGCCTCTCCCATTCTCCAGTTTTGAGGCGCTTCAAAACTAGGCTTCCCATGCTCAGCCTCTCCCACTCTCCAGTTTTGAGGCGCCTCAAAACTAGGCTTCCCATGCTCAGCCTCTCCCACTCTCCACCCGTTCACCCACACGTACCTGCGCGGCAGATCGCTGCAGGCTCAGCTGCTGCTGCTCCTGTGCCGTTCTCCTGATTTTGTCTGCCACGTCATCAGTGGCCCTGCTGATGTCATCGTCCGATGGCAGCTGTGCCTTCCAACTGGCAGCACAGCACAGCACAGCACAGGGTGCCACGTGGCAGGAGGAGGTAAAAAAGAGAAGGTCAAGGAGGATAACAACTACAAATCAATGTAAATCCAACCAGAAAAAGCTGCAAGGGAGAACCGCAAGATGTATGAGTGTGAGAGAAGTTGGGTTAAGCTGCTCTGAGCCTCCTCCCCTCACACCCACGCTCACCTCTCGATGCACTCAGCAAGAGCTGTGACCTGCTCCTATGCGCCTGCAGGCTGGCCTGCGCCTTCTCCAGCAGCTGCTCACACTCCTGTCATCGACCATTTTCTTTTCCCCTTACCTCTCAACACTCACCAACACCCTCACCTTTCAATGCACTCAGCCAGAGCTGTGACCTGCTCCTGCCTCTCCTGCAGGCTGGCCTGGGTCTGCTGCATCCGTTGCAGCAGCTGGTCGCAGTGCCATGCGCGGGTGGACAGGTGAGTCACTCCGCTGGGGAGGCTGGGGGGAGGGAAACAAGGCATGGAAAGTACGAGGCGAGGAAGTCCACGGGTGGGTGTAGCATGCTCTGCTGCTGCAGCAGCTGTGGCTATACGCACCTACTGTGGTCCCTTTTACACCATCTGTGGGTGGTTACTAGCCTATTGCACACAGCACACATGTAAGCTCACCAGTGCGGGTCCTTGACAGCGAGCAGCTGGCAGAGCTCCGCAATCTGACACACTGCTTCCGTGGTGTCGACAGCTGTACAGACGTGCCGTGGTCCTTTTTGTCCCATGCATATGGTTGGTTACTGACCTATTGCACACTGCACACCTGCAGACTCACCAGTGCGGGTCCGTGACTGCGAGCAGTTGGCAGAGCTCTGCAATCTGCGAGACAGCTTCCGTGGTGTCCACGTCACGGAGCTCGCCCAACACTGCTGCCAGCACTGACTTGAGGTGCGCCGCTGGGAGGGATGGGGAGGAAGGAGGGAAGGACCATACGGGATGTAAAAGCGATCTGAGGCGAGGAATTCGCGCAATAACCGCTGCCAGCGAGACCCACTGACGTCACGCTTCTACTGTCGACCGAGACCCACCCAATCCATCATCTTTATCGCCACCAGGATCACCTCTATCAGAATCAACTTCCCCAGAATCACCTTCATCAGAATCACCTTCACCAGAATCATCTTCACCAGAATCACCTTCATCAGAATCATCTTCACCAGAATCACCTTCACCAGAATTACCTTCATCAGAATCACGTTCACCAGAATCACCTTCATCAATCACCTTCACCAGAACCACCTTCACCAGAACCACCTTCATCAGAATCACATTCATCAGAATCACCTTCACCAGAATCACCTTCACCAGAATCACCTTCACCAGAATCACCTTCACCAGAATTACCTTCATCAGAATCACCTTCATCAGAATCACCTCCACCAGAATCACGTTCACCAGAATCACCTTCATCAATCACCTTCACCAGAACCACCTTCATCAGAATCACATTCATCAGAATCACCTTCACCAGAATCACCTTCACCAGAATCACCTTCACCAGAATCACCTTCACCAGAATCACCTTCATCAGAATCACCTTCATCAGAATCACCTTCACCAGAAGCACCTTCATCAAAATCACCTCCACCAGAATCACCTCCACCAGAATCACGTTCACCAGAATCACCTTCACCAGAATCACCTTCATCAGAATCACCTTCATCAGAATCACTTTCATCAGAATCACCTCCACCGAACTTACCTTCCGCTCGGTAGCCTCGAGCCTGGATCTCCGCTTCCGCCATCATCGGCGATTTAGCGGCGGAGGTCGCTACGCTCCGCGCAGCCTGGTTCCAACCAGCGTCGCCGCCGCTGTTGCTGCTGCTGCCGGCGTTAATCCAGCTGCCAGCGCTAACGCTGTTGCCGGCATTATTGCTGCTGAAATCGCTTGCTGCTGCTGCTGCTGCTGCCGCTGCCGCTGCCGCTCCTCGCGCCGTCGCTTACAGCTAGCGAGCAGCCTTCCGAACTAGAAAATAGACTCGTTCTACAGTCACTATCCGCCATAATAGCGTGTGGCAGTCTCAAGTTGCAATTCCTAGAAGGTAGCGATTCACGACCTGCAGAACGTAACATGAATTATCAAAAGGACACAAAGCAAGTAAACATCGGTCGTGCATCTCAAGCAACAAACACTGATTCGTCAGGCTTGATTCGCGACTCTCGCTAATTCGATCGTCAAAGTCGTGGATACTGGATCCTCCGCGTGCCCGCGATACCAAGGCAAGGCAAACCAACATCTGATCTTGCAACTACGCTTCATGCAACTTTCGTTACTGAATTGCATCTGTCGCCAAGAAGTTTTTTTTTTCGAAACTCTGTCGCAAAACACCACCAAGAACCGAAATCGTGTTCGCCCCATTCGCCAAAAAACGTTTCCAACCAACCGTCCGACGTGCTTCGTTTGAAACATCTCACCCTATCCACTGCACGTCTGTAGTTGAGTGCTTACACGAACTTAATTTCACATTGCGCATCCACCCACCAGAGAATACCCCATAGATGATTTTGTGACTGAAGCATAATGAAGAATTAACAGCCCCCAAACCTTTCCACGTATACAGGAAACAATCTGAGACACAACATCAAGGTCAACACAGTCAACAGAGTCAACGCTGCTGCCCTCCTGGATGCCTAATGTGATCACTGCGTGAATGCTGCGGGTGGCTATCTGGAAACTGCTGGTACATGCCAAGTGACTGCTGGTTCACTGGTGAGTAGGCGTATCCAGGTGAAGGGGGGTAAGCAGGCAGCAACTGCTGACCTGCCACTGCCATCCCCTGCCCTGCAGGTACCCACTGCACTCCTGCTGCTGGTCCTGCTACCGTTGCTCCTCCTGGTGCTGCTACTGCCGCTGCCGGGCTGAGTGCGATCTGCCGTACGCTCGCATTTGGACCCGTGCCTGTGCCCATGCCTGTGCCTGTGCCTGCTAACAGGGCAGGGATCCTCTGTCCCGCCCTGTCACCTCGTGCCGGGGCATCCAAGTGACTCGCTGCAGCTGGCTGCTGACGTGGCACAGCCGCCTGCCCTCCTCCCCCTTCCCCTCCCATGGCACGCCGTGCGGCCTGCACCTGCCCCTTAGCCTGCCCTGTTTCCCTGGAATGACTGGCATTAGCAGAATGCCGTTTCGCAGCGCCTGCTGCGTGTGTGTGCGAGTCAGAGCTACCAGCAGGCCTTGACACGACAGCCAGTGCTGCTGCTTCTGTGCCAGGTGTCACATCAGGTGTCACAGAAGTAGGTTGAGGAGAGGACATGGGAGGTGTAGAGGAGGGGATGGGAGAGTGAGGGGAGGAGATGTGCAGAGTGCTCAACTGGGCCATGTAATCGACTACCCCTGCTCTCTCTCCTTCCCTCCCCTCCTTATAAGCCTGCTGCTGCTGCTGCTCCAGCTGTGGCTGCTGTCGCTTCTCTGCATGTCTTCGTTGCTGCTGCCTCTGCTGCTTCTCTAATTGCCTCTGCTTCTCGGCCTGCTGCTGCAGCTTCTGCATCTCCACATGCACTGGAGACAGCACACTGCCTGCAAGTTGCGCTACAGCCGGGTTGTGTGCTACAGCTGACTGTGGCACATCAGTTGGCATTTGCCCTACAGCAGGATTACGATGCGCTGGACTTGGTGTATGTGCTACAGCTGCAATCACAGGCGCTGCCCCAGATGGGTGCACGATAAACTGTTCTTGAACGTGGCTTGCTCTCTCCGAGGCGCGTGCCTGCTCCTCCTGCTTCAACCGCAGCTAGTGAAATCACATCGGTGCGCGGCACGGGAATGCAAGGGGGAGAAAAGAGGTAGGGGGGAAATAAAAGTTGTGAGATGACTCAAAACATTCTGCTCCTGAATGTGGCTTGCCCTCTGTGCGATGTGGCTTGCCCTCTGTGCGATGTGGCTTGCCCTCTGTGCGATGTGGCTTGCCCTCTGTGCGATGTGGCTTGCCCTCTGTGCGATGTGGCTTGCCCTCTGTGCGATGCGGCTTGCCCTCTGTGCGATGCGGCTTGCCCTCTGTGCGATGCGTGCCTGCTCCTCCTGCTTCAACCGCAGCTGGAGGAATGGCAGTGCCGTGAGGAATGGCAATGCAGGGGGGCGGAAAGCAGGGGGGAAAATACATGAAGGGCGGATGGAAGGAGAAAGCGAGAGCACTGAGAGAGCGGTGAAAAACACCAGTGGGAGAGAGGAATGAGAGCGAGCAGTGAGAAAGCGCAGTGAGAGAGAGCAGTGAGAGAGCAGTGAGAGAGCAGTGAGAGAGGGAACTAAGAAAGTGCTCACCGCTGCCTTGTTGCTCTGAGTTATATTTTCAAGAGCTGCGATGGCCGGGACGAGACTGCATAAGTATTGTTATCACCACAGACAAAGAGAAGAAGAGAAAGGACTCAACAGTAAGGAGGATATAGCAAACACCAAGCTGTATACAGCACTGAGGTGGATGTAACACACAATAAGGTGTATACAACAGTAAACAAAACTAAGGTGGATATGAACGCATATTAACGAGGCCAAGGGGAATTGAAACTGGCCGATAAGCATACCTATGAGGTGTCATGAGGTGTCCTAGGGTGTAATGAAGTGATATGTGCTTTCTGTACCCTTTATAACCCTTAGTGCCTCACCAGGTTTCCATCAAGCGGCACAGAGCAGCTTGGTAGGTGGCATGGTGGTGAATCAACTCTAGAGGGTTAGGCTCGCCGTGCCTGGGGACAAGGAGAGACAGAGAGAGAGGGCGGAAGAGAGTGAGGACAGGCAGAGGGAGGAGAGAGGCCATGAGGGGTAAGACTGATAGGCGGCCTGGTGATGAAGCAACTCCAAAGGGTTAGCCTCGCCGTGCCTGGGACAGGGAGAGGGAGAGGGAAAAGAAGGGAGAGGGGACGAGAAGTCATGACAGGTAAGACTGATAGGTGGCCTGGTGGTGAATCAATTCCCAAGGGTTAGTCTCGCCGTGCTTGGTGCAGAGGGAGGGGAGGAAAGAGAGAGGGAAGGCAGAGGAAAGGGAGGTCACATGGGACAAGACTGGGAGGTGGTGTCGTGGTGAATCAGCTGCTACGGGTTGGGCTTGCTGTGCCTGGTGCAAAGAGACGGAAACGAGGGCGAGGAACAATGGAGGGAGGTAGAGGAGGAGGGAGGTAGAGGAGGAGAGAGATGGAGGGAGCGGAGGGTGGAGGAAAGGAAACAATCTGACGTGGTAGGTGGCATGGCGGTGATTCAGAAGAGGGGTCATGACGTGTGAGCGGGGCAGGGACAGGAAGGCTCGGGCTGAGTGGGGTGCACAAGTGCAGGGGCAAGGGGCACACAGACAGCAGCACAAAGGGGAACAGGACAATGCGTACGTACTGCCTGCACCACCCACTCACCACCCACTCACCATCACCAAACACCCACCTGCCTGCATGCTCTACTTCCCTCTCATACGCCTCCTTCTCCTCCAGTAGCAGCATCCTTAGCAGCTGGGTGGCACGGCACAGCCCACAGGAATGTGCGTGTGAGTGAGCAATGGGCATCGCATGTGTTTACCTCTGTGTGTGCTCTACTGCCCTCTCATACGCCTCCTTCTCCTCCATCAGCAGCATCCGCTGCAGCTGGGTCAGGGGCGCCACGGCGTGTGTGCGGGGCGGGGAGGGGAAGAGAGCCCTCGCATCACCTGCGTGATGCACCTTTGGTCAATAAGCCACTGGGACGCACCTGCCTGCATGCTCTACCGCCTTCCCATACGCCTCCTTCTCCATCAACAGCATTCGCTGCAGCTGGGTCAGGGGAGCCACGGCGTGTGTGCGGGGCGAGGAGAGGAAGAAGGGCGCACTCATGTCACCTGCATCTCTCCCCACTGGTCAATGAGCCACTGGTGGGACTCACCTCCCTGTGTGCTCTACTGCCCTCTCATACGCCTCCTTCTCCTCCATCAGCAGCATCTGCTGCAGCTGGGTCAGCGGCGCCAAGGCGTGTGTGCGCAGGGAGGTGGGGGGGGTAGCCATCAACACATGTCACCAACACCTATCCACCACCCACCTGCCCGCATGCTCCACCGCCTTTTCATACGCCTCCTTCTCCTCCATCAACAGCATCCTCTGCAGCTGGGTCAGGGGTGCCACGGCGTGTGCACGGGGCAGGGAGGGGAAGGCTCGGGCCGAGGGAACCACCTTTATTGGCACCTCCCATGCTGTGAAGTCAGATGATGGGCTGAGAGAGGGATGAGGGGGAGGGAGAGAAGGAGGAAAAGGGAGGGTTGAAGAGAATGGATCAAATCAGAGGGGCCCACCCTGATGGGGAGCTCCCATGCTGTGAAGTCGGAGAATGGGCTGAGAGAGGCATGGGGGAGAGATGGGGAGGGATTGGAAGATATGGAGGGATGCGAAGAGAAGGAAGGCATTTGAAAGGCTCAGGTAAAGGGGACCACCCTGATGGGGACCACCCGTGCTGTGAAGTCTAAGGATGGGCTGGAAGGGATGAGGGGTGTATGGCAGAGGACATGGGTGTATGGCAGAGGACATGGGTGTATGGCAGAGGACATGGGTGTATGGCAGAGGACATGGGTGTATGGCAGAGGACATGGGTGTATGGCAGAGGACATGGAATGCGGGGAGATAGCAAGGGAATGACGGGTTTTGAGAAGCGCGGCAAACCAAAAAGGAACATCATAACAAAAGGGGCAGAGACATTTTACGGGGATCATCCCTACAATTGCAAACACACATTTTTTCAATGGCCAGCACCATTTACACTACACGTCATCATCCACGTCAGCCAGCACCAATTACACGTCATCATCCACGTCAGCCAGCACCACTTACACGTCATCATCCACAGCAGCCAGCACCACTGCTAGCTCTTGAGGCTCAAGGTCCGAAACAGATGGATGGGATGAATGCTCCCTCTGCGAGGAAGGAGGGTGGGAGATGGGAGACGGGGGGAACAGGAGGAACACGGGGCAAGTGGGTAGAAAAAGTTTGGCCAGCGGTGGGTGGGGTGGAGATGAGGGGAATGGGAGGAACAGAGAGCAAGTAGGAAGGGTAAGACTGGCCAGCACTGTGACGAGTCTAGTAGATGGGAGGAGTGAGTAGTGAGTGACTGCCGCTCCCTGTGCTCCGCCCTTCTCCTTGTCACCCTCCCACCTTCAGCCGTACACCAATCCCCTTCACCTTGCTTTTCCCCCTTCTAATCCCCACCTTGGTGCCCTGCTGAGCCCACTGCCCCCGTGCCGGTGTGTGCTGAGACCACTGCTCCTGTGCTTCCCCCTTCTCCTTGTCACCCTCCCACCTTCAACCGTACACCAACCCCCCCACCCTTGCTCCCCCCCTCTTTGCTCCCCACCTTGGTGCCCAGCTGTGCCCACTGCCCCCGTGCAGGTGTGTGCCGAGACCGCTGCTCCCGCTGCTCCTTGTCGCGCGCTGACACGGACTGAAACGCCACTGCCTGCAATTGACCTGCCTGTGAGGGTGCGGGGGAAGGTTGCAGGAAGGAGATTCATAGGCACGATGGAAGTGCATGAGATAAATAAAAGATAAATTGCTCTCCGTGCTCCCGCTGCTCCTTGTCAGGCGCTGACACGGACTGAAATGCCACCGCCTGCAGCTGACCCGCCTGTGGGGGAGGGGGGAGAGAGGGGAGACGAGGATGAGAAGGATGCATGCGTCAATGGAACGGATAAATGCTGCTCCCACTGGTCCTCTGCTCCTCGCATGCGCAGGTGGGTCAGCTGGAGCGGATAAATGGTGCTCCTCCACTGGTCCGCTGCTCCTTGTCTGCAGCTGACCCGTGCTGACGTGGCCTGAAACGCCACAGCCAGCAGCTGACCCATGCTGACATGGCCTGAAACGCCACTGCCTGCAGCTGACCCGTGCTGACATGGCCTGAAACGCCACTGCCTGCAGCTGACCCGTGCTGACATGGCCTGAAACGCCACTGCCTGCAGCTGACCCGCCTGTGAGGGTGTGGGAGAAGGGCGCACGCAGGAAATTCTTAGGTAGGCCGGGAATCCATGAGATAAACAAAAGATACAATGCTCTTGGTGCTCCTGGAGGTGCATTGAAAGAATCGGCAATCACCCGGGCACGTAAGGTGACTTTTGAGCCGACTCAAAAGTCTCCTGGAGGTGCATGGGAGAAGAATCGGCAATCACCCGGGCACGTGAGGAGGCTCAGGTGAAGGCAGGGATTCAGGGCCCACAAATCCCCACATTTATGGGCCCCACCCCATGAATCCCTTGTCTACCAGACACCGTCCACACCTGGCACATGCCTTGCGTGTGTGCGTGTGCACCTTTTGGGACGTCTCAAAACTGCTGCTCGCATAAGCATACCTTCATGCCGACCTTGTATACCAGAAAACGTCTACACCTGGCACATGCCTTGTGTGTGTGTGCGTGTGCACATCTGTCCCTCTGATGGACTCTCAAAACGACTCGCACCTCACCTCGTCTGCGCATGTGAGGAGGCTCGGTTGAAGGAGAGAATCTGGTGTCAGAACTTAAGCTTAGAAGCGATGCATTAGTAATGAGCTTGAAGCTCTTTAAGTACATCCAAGATGGGCAAGCAATGGATAGGGAGGAGAATCGGAGGCCATCTCTAGGGATTGGGGGTAATCCAAAGACAATCTCCAATTGGTGGGTTGGAGATTGCTTGGAGATCACATTTGGGTTTGGTTGGGATGTAGGTGTACACCCAACCAAACACAAAGTGCAAACTACACTACGCTAGGATATAAAAAGTGCAAAATACAAAGTGTGAGATTGAGGGCTAACACTAACATCTGGGCCCCACAAATCCCTTGTCTAGTACGCAACATCCACACCTGTCACATGCCTTGTGTGTGCGCAGATATGTCCCACGCGACTCATGAATCACAACCCACCTGCGCATGCGAGGAGGCTCGGTTGAAGGCGGAGAATATGAGTCCCACAAAGCCCTCGTCTAGCATCTGGTACATGCCCTGTGTGCGCACGTCTGATGGGCACCATACAGAGAGGGAAGGGAAGAGGCACATGGGGTGTTTTGAGTCGTCTGGAATGGAAACACGTCAAGAGAATATGAGTCCCACAAAGCCCTCGTCTAGCATCTGAAACATGCCCTGTGTGCGCACGTCTGATGGGCGGAGCAGCAAGGAAAGAGAGGAGACAGAAGGGGGGGAGACATATCAAAGGGAACGCGAGGCCATCGACGCCTTGAACTGCATCTGCTAGATGCCCTGCCCCGTGTGGACACGTCTTTTGCTCAGTGTGCCGGCAGAAGAAAGGGCGAGAGGGAGGGGGAGTGAGGGAGGGAAGGGAAGCACATGGGGAAGGAGGAAAAGAAGAGGAGAAGAAGTAAAGGTGGTGGTATTGTATAGCTCAAGTAGCAAAATACGATGAGATGTGGTGCAGATAGAACACACGCTTAATTTCCTTGTGGATATACTGACAAGATTAATATGTATGTGGTGAGAAGATCCACATACCGACATGGGATGGGCGAAGCGACATACCGACATGGGATGGGATGGGTGAAGTGACATACTGACATGGGATGGGATGGGTGAAGTGACATATTGACATGGGATGGGATCAAGGTTCAAAATTACGACCGAATTATTGAAATTCTACCGTATAATACGGAATCGTATAAAACGACCGTAAAATACGGTTTTCAAAAATTCAGTGATTGCTAGGAGGAAAACTACGTTTTTTAAAAGTCTATCAAAAATACGGCGTATTTTTTTATTTTTGGCCGTAAAAAACGACCGTATTATACGGACCGTATAATACGATAACCGTAATTTTGATCCTTGGATGGGATGGGTGAAGTGACATATTGACATGGGACGGATGAAGTGACATACTGACATGGGATGGGTGAAGCGACTACCGACATGGGATGGGTGAGGCGACATACCGACATGGGACGGGTGAACAGTGATGTGCGGGTGCGAGTGGTACCACCCAATGACACGTGTCCTCATGCCAGTGGCCGCTGACATCCTGCAATTTTCAACGTCAAAAGGAATGGAATGGGATGGGATGGGATGACATGCAGATACAATCAGCATATAGCATGGAATGGCACAACGTGACATGCGTAGGCATGGCTGGCCGTGGTCAACGTGGGCAGCATGCATGATGGCATGAAGTACGAGCTGGGATAAGGAAGCAAGTAAACACCAAGCATGCATCAAAGCATCCATGTATGAACGACAAGTGAGCCTCGTTATTAGCCATATCAAAACCCACTAGCAAGCTTGCAGGAAAATCTTATGCACAGTGAAATCAAACAAATGAATAAATACACACACAAAAAGAATGGTTCCAAGCGAACTGTACCTTTCAGCCTCGGCAGACGCTGCTGCCAACTGCTCCGGAGTCGTCTCTACTCGATCTTTTCTCCTGTCTGCCCGAACCTGCGGGGCAGCACCCCAAATCTTTGCAGAAACCACAGGGATTCGTCCGCTGTGGTCGTACTGTGTTAGAAAAGGAGGGGAGAAGGGGAAAGAAAGTGGGGTTGGGAAGGTATTGGGTTAAGGAGGGGGCGGAAAGTGAGTGGGTGAAGGAGAAAGGAGAGAGGAAGTGAAGGAGAGAGTACAAATGAGGGTAGCAGGAGGAAGGGAGGATGCTGTAATCTATTCAGGTAGTACGAAAATAAACGGTGAGTGGGCGGCATCTGGCAATGGGTGAAGAGAGATGGTGAGGGGGGATTCTCTACGAGTGGTTGAGAAAGGCGAACAACGGTGAAGAGGGATTGAAATCCAGAGATGCTCATAAGAACTTTACAGAGGCACATATGTCTCCTAATGACAAAAAAAAAAAAAAAACCAGAACAAACGTCATAAATAAGAGGCATTAATGAAAGGAGACGTTATGAGAAAGAGAGCCTACGTACATGCATATGACTCTTAAGTCGACTCAAAACTAAGTTACGTACATGAATATCCCCGAGTAGCAGGCCCATGATTTCCTCCGCTGAGGTGACTTTTAAGTCGACTCAAAGGACACCGCGAGTCGGCAGAGGAGGCTAGTAAGTACATGGATATCCCCGAGGAGCAGACTTATGAGTCGACATGAAAGAGGAGCTTGAAAGAGGGAGGCTACGTACATGGATATCTCCGAGCAGCAGACCCATGATTTCCTCCGCTTCCGTGGAGAGCGCGTGCGTTGCGCACGTCAGCCACACTTCTGACGAAACCACCACCTCCGTCAACGACATCTCGGCGAAGGGTTACCAGCTGTCGCAGAATATGCTACGGCGGGTCCTAAACAAGGTACGCGTGCAAACGGTTGCCGCACAGATGTTGATCGCCGTGCGCTACTACTCGTACGCTGCATACATACAAGTACGTCGCTGAGCTGAGTTGCTGAACAGGCGAATCCTCGAGAATGTCACGTCATGTGACAGGTATTGTGCTGGTGGCAAGCACATCGATCATTGCTGGTGGGTTTTGTGGAGATTGGAGTCCACGCTTGGGATTCGAAAACCATAGCTACTTCCATATTGATTCTGAAGAGTTAGCGAAGGGCTACAGTGGAATCTCAAATCGACCGATATCGAGTATAATGTTGACACCTGGATGTTAGCTCCACTCTGCGAAAGCGGGAATTCTTTTCGCGGATTCGCAGATTGTGTGCCAGAAGCCATTGGCCGACTTTTCCAGCCGATGGGGTTGCGGGTTTGGTCTTGTTTCTTACAACGAATGATACTCTGTTATCGAACTGTCTCAAACCGCTGAGGCTTCCTGGTCTGTCATGTATCGATAGAAGCACTATCAATGTCCCGCGTCGCCTCACGTCCCTGGTGCTACCATTGCCGCATTCCTTATAGTTGGGGCTGAAACGCCGGGCGGCATGAAAAAATTGGATGCGCCGTCCCAAACTCTTTGCTTACAAGACGTTCCCCGAATGATTTACTTGCTGGTTGGTGCTGGACGGACGATCACATATTCCGAGGGTGTAGAGAAGTCTGGTCGCTTTCCCAGAACTCTTTGAAGTGTATCGTTTACTGAAAGTGAGTCGGCTACGGTTGGGGTGGATAGCGACAGGTAATGCCGGCCTTACTCCTTTCTGCCACTCTCTCCCCCCTTTCTGCCCTTAATCTCCCTTCCCCATTTCTGCCTTTATCTCTCTCTCACTTTCTGCCCTTCTTTCTTTACTCTCTCACTCATGGCTTCCCCCTCTTCTCTTCCTGCTTTACCTTACCCACCCACCTGGTAACCACGCAACAGGTTCGTCGCCTTCGGAATCAAATTCGTCAACACGGCAGGCCCCGAGAATCACCAAGCAGTTGCGTTCCGCGCCACGGGCGACCAATCAGCGCTCTTCGACTGCGCATTCGAGGGATCGCAGGATACACTGTATGTGGACGCGGGCCGGCAGTACTACAAAAACTGCTACATTGGCGGCTCGCAGGATTTCATTTTCGGCGACGCGGCCGTTGTTATCGACGCGCCGAAAATTCAGCTACACCCGAGCCCCTCTTTTGTGACTATAACGGCGTCGGGACGGGCTAAGGATACCCCGACGGGGATCGTGATTCGCGACGCTAATATCGCGGCGGACAGCGGTACTACCGAGGTGTATCTGGGCCGTCCGTGGAAGAAATGCGCCTTCACGGTTTTCATCAATGCGAATCTCCCCGCGGTACGTAGCCGTTCTCTCTTCCTCCTGTTTCTGCCGACGCTTCCGTTTCGAATTTTGCTCACCTCCTTCCCGCCTCGTCCCCATCTTCCCAACCCCATCCCTCATCCCCCATTCAGGTGATCGAGAAGGACGGGTGGCTGTCGTGGAACGAGGGCAGCTGCATGTTTCTCGCGGAGGCGGGCAGCACGGGGCCGGGCGCTTCGTCTCCCCGCGCGGACTGGGTGGACCCTGGGATCATCACGGACGTCAGCGGATATGACGCCAACACTTTCACCGAAGTTAACACCTGGCTCAGCTGGTCGGACTAGTGTTGCTGGTAGCATGATTACCACCGGCAGCAGTAGGAGTAGCAGCAGCAGCGTGAATAGTGTTAGTAGCAGTCACGAGCTCACCGGTAGGCCCTGGCTGCAGGAGCGCCAAACCCTCTTAGGAATTACAAGTTTTGAGGAGCGTTAGATGCAGCTGCACAATCGAAGGCGTCGTACTTGTGCTGTTTTTGCGGAAAGCTCTGGGGTTACGGTAGTTGTCTGGATTATTTATTTTGACAACTGGTGTAATAATGATCTGATTTGGTTTGTTGAATGTTTTCTCCTTGTTATGGTTGATTTTTTTTTTGCTCTGGTTGTATCAGTAACTGGAAGCTTGGTTCGGCAGCCTGACATAACTTGTTCGTAGCAAATGGCTTGGACTCATTAGCATAAACTAGCTAGCCAATGATATAGCAGGAAACGGTCTTGACAGCTGCAGCATCCATTGTACCCTTCTCTCCACCACCCACATTCTCCCTTGAAAGTGGGTTCACTCTCTCCCTGTCCTTCCCCTCCACCATTTCTAGCCCCCAATGCTGTCCACTCCCTTCCCTCCTAGCACTGTGCCCTTACCTTATCCCTCTGTGCTTCCTATGCTCCTCCGGGAATCACCTTTGCCGCCCCTCCTCCCTGGGTAACCTTGGGGTTACCCTTCTCCTCATCCCCCTCCGATTCACTTCCCTCTGAAAACACCATGCGGCCAGACTTAGTAAACTCCGCAACCTCCTTCCCAGAGGGTATACGCGTTATAGTACGATCGGTGAACTCGAATCCCAGCGCAGGGACCCATCGGATCCGCACGTCGTCCGCGTCCCCTTCACCTCCTTTCGAAGCAGCTGCACCCCCTCCTCCCCCTGCCGCGCCCGCTGCGCCCTTCCCCATGGGCACCACTCTCCGCTTCGTCCGCAGCTGTCGCCACTTTAGAATGACAACGATCAGCAGCACGAGGAACAGAGCGGCCAGCGACCCCACCACTCCTGCCACGAGATAGCCAGAGATGGGAGGGCTCGGGGTCGGTTCAGGGTTGATTGCAGGGGCGGGGATCGGTAAAGGGGCAGGAGATGGGATTGGGCCCGGAGGGGGAGGAGACTTGGGGCTCGGAGAAGGAGGAGGCGACTTGGGGTTGGGCGGAGGAGACTTGGGGTTGGGCGGAGGAGAGTTGGGGTTCGGCGGAGGAGAGTTGGGGTTCGGCGGAGGAGACTTGGGGTTCGGCGGAGGAGAGTTGGGGTTCGGCGGAGGAGACTTGGGGTTCGGCGGAGGAGACTTGGGGTTCGGCGGAGGAGACTTGGGGTTCGGCGGAGGAGACTTGGGGTTCGGCGGAGGAGACTTGGGGTTCGGCGGAGGAGACTTGGGGTTCGGCGGAGGAGACTTGGGGTTCGGCGGAGGAGACTTGGGGTTCGGCGGAGGAGACTTGGGGTTCGGCGGAGGAGACTTGGGGTTCGGCGGAGGAGACTTGGGGTTCGGCGGAGGAGACTTGGGGTCCGGCGGAGGAGACTTGGGGTCCGGCGGAGGAGACTTGGGGTTCGGCGGAGGAGACTTGGTAACCGGCGGAGGAGACTTGGTAACCAGCGGAGGAGACTTGCTAACCGGCGGAGGAGACTTGGTAACCGGCGGAGGAGACTTGGTAACCGGCGAAGGCGAAGGGGAGTTGGGACCCAAATCAGGCACGGCAATAGCGGTGTCTGCTGGCTTGTCGTGCGGCGTCCGCCCCTTGACCCTGCCTTGCGATTTCAGGACAGTGTCCGAATCAGGCACGGCCGCAGCGGTGTCACTTGCCATGATGATGATGTCGCCCGGCGCAATTTACGGAACGTTATTGGAGCGGTTCGACTTAGTGTAGAAGCGGGACTAGAGAGGGGTTGAGTTCCGGATTCCGGATTTCCAGAAACTTCTCCGTACAGCGATATGGTGTTGTAAGCTTTGAAAAAACAATGGATATAAGGCCACTTTTGAGTCGACTCAAATGTGACCTCGATTGAAAGCCTTCGCCTGCAATGCCTCCAGTGGCGCGGCCCGCGCTCCTACTTTCCACCGTCGGCCGGAATTACGGTCTGTGCAGCCTCGAGAATGCCTCCGTTTGCACTGAAGTCTGAAACGGAAATGCGCCTAGCGTTTTACGAACGGAACTAATACTACGAGTGGCGCTTTCAGGCTCCTAAGAAGAAGTAAGCTTACACCAAGAACACGGACGTGTTATTTAGAAGCTAATACAAGGCGATGCGCGACGAGGTTCCGTTGCTAGTGCCTGCACTGCTCAACGCAGACATTCCCTACTGCGCTTCCTTGCAGGCCAAATTTTTGCGACAGCAGCGGCGATAACAGACTCTATCGAACGAAGGCAGAACACGAGACACGAGAGTCAAGCAAAAGCGAAAGCCACCACGACCTCAGCGTGCTAGTGAACGCGACCAGCTCATCCTACTAACTCGACCGACCCAACCTCACGACCAATAAGCCAAGACACGGCCTGGTAGAGTCGCGCGATCCTTCCTAAGGCCTAACTTGATCTCCGTGATTGCCAATAAACGTATGTTGCAAGGGCAGGGCCTAGCTTTGTGGAGTTTTCAGGCTCTGTGCCTGAGTCTTCTGTGCTTTCTGCGCCTTTCTGTTGGCTTTTCGGGAATACGAAATTCCGCAAGTTCACGTCTTTTCGAGTGGATGACGCGGGGCGGATCGGAATTTGGAATTCCTCTCGGGGAAAGGCAACGGTGGGCGGGACGACTGGCGGAAGGGGGCTGAAGGGAAGGGCGCGCCGAATGGTGACGAGGCGAGGCGATTTCTTCGCGGAAGGGGGGAACGCGAGCAGTGGTCCGCGTTCCAATCAGCGTCTGACGATGTCGCGGGGTGAGCGTACATTGCGGATAGAGAGCAATGGGGAGGCTGGGGCAACTGGGGGGTGGAGTGGAACTGGGGAGGCGGAAATGGAAACGCGTTGAAGCGGACGAACTGGATGAAGGCGAGGTCGTGTCGTGAAGTGTGCGGCAATGTAATTATTGGTGGCGCAGCGCGGTCCGGATGCGTAACAGAGAGAAACACTTCCAGTTCCTATTGTTTGCTTGCTTATATTATACATCGTTGAACAACAAACAATTATTCATTTATTTCCATCAAAACACAATTAATTGCTCACTCTAAAACCCATAGAATCTCACGATATTTTTATAATATATTCGGTTCCATGTTCCATCATAACCTTCTATGTTTACAAATTTTATGATAATAATTATTATTATATTCCATGAATCCGGAAGATTTTTAATCATTAAGTATCATTATTGGGTAAATTAATTATTTCTTATCTTGCTATTATTTAATGGAATTCAGCAATGCTAAGTAGTCTGCATTTGCGTTTTTGGGTAGCCTTCTGTTTCGCTAGATTGATTTAAACGTTTCACTCGATGCAGGGGATTTGTTCCACTTCAGGTTGGTGGAAAGCAATAACCGTTGAAATGATGCTCTAGTCCCCCATTGGAAAGATTTGTGAGATATGTTTCGCTGTACTGTAGTGCGCACACCCAACCCAAGCCTTGAACAGCCTAGAATCTACGGCCATTTTCAGGTGCATGCAATTAGCCTAGGAACTGTATTCAGGTGCATGCCATGTTATTGGGCAGGTGTGTACACTTTACGTAGCTTACAAATTTGTTATCGTAAAAGTACGCGCTTCGCAAGATTCGTTTAAAATTAGCACAAACAGTCGAGAATAGGAGTGATTCCGGGTTACGCAAAGCGAAATCGGAATGGTTGGCTCTCGACCCTGCATTTTCTGACGTCACCGGAAGCAATCATTGCATGTTGCCCGATTTCGACGCGAATTTCTGCTTCGCCCCAACTCGTTTTAAACGAACTTAAATGCTAGAACAGTTGTACTGTTGACGCGGTTGACGGACGCTGCGCATGACAAATTAACAATTTTTTCTTGGGCGTGCAGAAATTGGGAAAGGGTAATCCGAAACGTGAAAAATCTGCCCGAGTTCTAATAGCCTACCGCAGTAAAATACAAACAAGTATTATGAATGTTAAATAAAGAAAGCTAAGAAATTCCAACATTTAGAATATTCATGTACTGTATCAACATTATATTTTGTAGGGGCAAACTTTACGAACAGTCGGGCAGACTTCTCATGTTTGGGATTACCCTTTCCAAATTTCAAAATTTTGTATTTTTGTCATGCGCAGCGGTCGTCACCGACGCCAACAGTACAGCTGAGCTAGCATTTAAAAATTTTCAAGAAGACTTCGGGCGAAACAGAAATTCGCGTTGAAATTGAGCAACCATGCAATGATGCTTCTGGTGACGTCAGAAAATGCAGAATCGAGAGCCAACCATTCCGATTTCGATTTGCGTAATCCGGAATCGCATCTATTCTCGACTGTTTGTGCTAATTTTAAACGAATCTAGGGAAGTGCGTCATTTTACGATAACAAATTCCTAAGCTTCGCAAAGTGTACACACCTGCCCAATAACATGGCATGCACCTGAATACATTTACTAGACTAAGTTGCATCCACCTGAAAATGGCCGTAGAATCTAGATTGCGCTCTTCCTTCTGCCCCCATCCCTCCTCAGCATCAAGCACCGGCCCAAAGAACTGCTTGAGACCATGCGGCAAGCCTTGGTTGTGTGCGATGTGGACATTCTCGGTTTGATTTATGGTCAGCCTTCCAGATTTTAGGGCGTGGGCCCAAACGGGTTTGATCGCGACTGATTTGATCGGGCTGGATCCAGGGCTCTAGGTATCAGGGTAACACTCTGAAACTCAGGTACATTCCGTATTATTTTTCGGCTAACCCTGATTCATCAGAATCGTTATAGAAATCATCAGGACCATTTCCGGATGATTTGGCCGAGCGTTCTGGAAGTTCAGTATTGTTTCGAAAACAATCCTGAGATTTTAGCTCGGTACTATTTCTTGTGTGGGATGTCGAATGCAAAGATGCCCATAAGTGCCGTCAGACAGGATGTGAGTTTCAGGTTTGTTGGTCCTTGCCTTGCCAACTTAGACGTTTTAGAGCCTCTTGCGCCTAGGGTGTTGAACCGCTCTTGTGCATTTTCAGATTTTTGGAAAAACACACGGCCGCGGAAGGGAAACTTTTGAGGGAGTGTTGATTCTTCAGGGCCTTTTCTCAGGCGAATCCGGAGCCTTCCGTGCCTTAAAAAACGAAAGATTTGAACTGGGGTTGCTTGTGATCTTAGTGCCTGAGCCGCCCGATCAGAAATGATTTTTCGGAGAGGGTTGTCAGCGCCTGCTCAGCAAGCGCGCTACATTTGCGTGGCATTTTCGTCCACATTTTAGCGAGATTGACGACCAGGCTTCACCTGGCGAAAATATTCGCTTCACTGTAAATGCAACAGTGTAACTACTCGCAAGCATCGCTAGGTGCCCCGATCACAAGCAATCAATTGATTGCCTGTGATCGAGGAAAATCGACTCTGATCGTGGTTAAAATCGGGTCTGATCGAGGTTGGGCGATCAGCTGATCGCGATCAGCTGATTGCCCCTGATTGCCTGAATTTGGCTTCCAGGCTTCCTGGAAATTATTGATCGTTGCTGATCGAGGCGATCGAACCCGTTTGGGCCCACGCCCTTACAAATGTGGCTATCCTGGTCCGATGGAGACAAATGGTAGATGAAAACCAAATTCTGTAAGTTTCCCAGGGTATAGTTCTGGGTGGAAAAGGTTGTCTTGGTGAAGTCCACCACTCTCAAGTGTTTCTCCTCGACTGGGAGCAGGCGAGATTTAAAAAGGCAAGTCACTTCTCGGTAAAACAAGAGTGGCATACAAGAGTGGCATGAAATTCTGAGGTGTGGCGTGTCTGTTGGGATACAAACAAGTGACCGTCTGCTCGGGCGTCTCCATCAAAGCTTCACCTGACTCGCACTCTTCACCCACAGTTAATTTGAATTCTATTGAATATATTCGAAGTTGCAACTGTTAGGGCTACTAGCCAAACCAATTTGGACTTTCTGGTTGTTGCAATGGTCACGTCGTCCCGATTTGTGGAGTGAGTCAGTTGGTTCTGATGAGTTCCCTCCCTCTCCAGAAAACTGTGACAAACTAGATCCCCACTCCACACAAAGGATTCGGTACATCGTGCACGCGGGTTCAACAACGGTAGACTTCGGGGTATGTGCCAATCTGTACAGGTGATGTCGAACGCTTTCCAGATTTGTACATTCACGTGGTTTCCTGGATTTGGTTGGAATGAAATGTGTGAGTTGTGGAGGACGTTGGTTTGTGCTAGCGGAAGACTCCACTATCTCGTTTTGTCTGCTTTCAGGGTGACTGTGCAGGTTGGTTTCAAAACACGCCACCAGCTTTGCACCTCAATGCCCCCTTGGAGTCTTCCAAGGATCCCCTCCCGCGTCCAGGTGAGATGGCGTCTGTCACGGCTTTTGTGGGATCACTTGGCTGACGCATCAACTATTACATCCGTTTTCTTCTGTCCCATCCCCGTCAAAGTTCTCCTCGAGCTCTATGCTGACTTGGTAAAGCTCAGTATGGTGTGCAATGGTGCAATACGGTGAAAAGGCAAAACCGTTCCTAAACGTGGTTTAACGTATAGTACCGCGTTAAACGAAGCCAGATAAAAAAAGTATGACCAAGCCCCAGCGTTCTGTCAGTCAGACACACAATAACTTCCACTGGTTCCCCTAGCAGTCTTTTCTAGTTGTGTCAGACGAGCCCCATAACCCGTAATAATGGATCCGCTACTTCTTCCTCCGCCTTCGTCTGCGGCCGCTCGCTTGACTTACGTTACTAACGCAATTACGTTCTTCACAACCGATATGAGTTTGACTTGAGTCGCACTCGCAGCATTTCAGCTAAGAGGGAGTTATGTTTCTACTATCAAGATGGAAATGAGATACAGCTGCATTGCTGGTCACCTGCCGTGCTTCGGTGCAAGTCAGACAGGTTCTTACGGCCGTGTACCCATAATCATAACCTCCCACAGTCTATGTCAGCTCTCCTACATGTAGTAGCAATCGTCAGACGAAGTAGCAGTTCGCGTGTCGTTCCTTCTCGTTTCTGTCCCAAGTTATATGGACAAGTACGTCAAGATCAAACTCATAGGCGAGGGTTCGCACGGGAAGGTGTATCTAGTCAAAGAGAAACCAGACGGCGACGGGGCGTCGAAGCACCAACAGGCCGTTCGCAGTCCGAGCGATAAAGTATGGGTGATGAAGGTCGTTCCGCTACCGTCAGATCCAAAAGAGCGGGAAGAATGCGTTCGAGAAGGATCGACCATGATGAAGCTCGGACACCCTTGCATTGTCGGGTGCAAGGTACGGACCGCCTAAACTCGTCTTCTAGCGATAGCGTACCAATTACCCTGATTCAGTTACCCAAGTCCGCTAGATTCGGAAGAATCTGAACGTCGGATCGACATACGTCGTCTTAATATTCCTCATCTGCGGATATGTTTCTCTCTTCTAATTTGTTCGCCTTCGTGCTACTTTCGTATTACCTTGTTGTTACCTTTTCCGTGGCAGGAAGCGTTTATCGACCGCTCCAGCCGTGCCTTTTGCATTGGTGAGTACGACACGCGTGAAATGATCCTAATCGGCACCACCGGTGTACATCGGTTCGTCGGATTCGTTCGCTTAGCATGGTCCTGGTGCGTTCCCATGGCGACGCGTTCGGAGAAGGTCGCAGAGGCAAATACCAACGATACAATATTATCTGCTCTTTACGAGTCGTGAAGTTAGAGTCCTTAGGGTTTGTTGATATTGCAGAAACTCTATATTTAGTTGCTGAGCTGTCCGGATTCAGTTGCCTAGGGTTTCTCGACATACCTCTAGATTCGCTGTTTAGGACCAAACAGCTCGGCCGAGATCACCAACTCGTACCATCGTACTGATCCCTGTCCGTCCGTTCCTTTCTGGAACATTCCCGTTATAGCTGGACTCACTGCACGCTCGAGGTCGTCGCTAGTTCTCATCCATCATCCCCGGTCATTGTTGCGTGGTGCGTGCAGTGATGGAGTATTGTCGCAAGGGCGAGCTGTGTCAGCACCTCAAGAAGCGCTCCAACATGGCAATGATGTGAGTGCCTGAACGTGGTTCTATTAGCTGGCAAGTTACCCGCGATGCTGATGATGACGTGAGGGTCTTTGCATCTGACACGGATTCGTCTATCTAATCATGATAGTCATGACGATCCGTCGTTTCGATCTGTCTCACATTTTCGCCGAATTTCGCTGCGCCGTCGTTGACCCTGCGTTGTTTTCTTTCGTCTTCGTTCTGATTGGTCCCTGCAGGATTCCGGAGGACACGATTCTCAACTGGTTCGTGCAGCTCGTGCTCGCGTTAGAGTACCTTCACCATAAGAACATTCTCCACCGCGACGTCAAGGTACTCTACTCCTCTCCGCTCGCCTCGCCCCACTTCTTCCCTCCCCTCTTCTTCCCTCCCCTCCCTCCCAACCCTCATCCCCCTGCTCGCTCGCACGGGCGGCTCGGTCACGCCTCCTCTCTTCCGTCGCCACTTATTCCAAGTAAGCTTCTCAACTTCCCTCTCTTGCGCCTCCTCTCCACACCCCCGCTCCCTCCTTCCCCCTCCCGTCTTCCAATCCCCCTCCGCACCCCCTTCCCCTGCGCCCTTCGGTCAGGCGGAGAACGTGTTTCTTCGCAGCCGTCACGACACGCCGCTGGGTAACGCGGCGACGGTGCAGCTGGGCGATTTCGGCATTTCGCGAATGCTGGAGGCCCACGAGGCGGTCGCGCGAAGCTTCGTGGGCACGCCACTGTACATGTCGCCCGAGTTGATCCGGAACGAACCGTACGACCATAAGTCAGGTGAGCCGTACGATCAGGTGTCAGGTGAGCCGTACGATCACGAGTCGACTCGAAAACTGCCTGCCGAGTTCCGCCCTGAATTCCATTCTCCCCCCCTCCCCGTCGCAGATATATGGGCGCTGGGTTGCATACTGTACGAGATGATGTGCTTCACTAAGCCCTTCCCCGCTACAAGCATACGCGACCTTGTTCTGCGAGTGCTCAAGAGCAACTACCGCCCTCCTCCCCACATGTAAGCTGTGTTCTTTCTCTCTCGTCGTTGTTTTCAGACTTCCTTCCTGTTCCAGATTCTCATACCTCTTTTCTCTGTCCCCGCATCATTCCCCCATCCGTCCCCCATCCCTCCACTCATCTCTCCACCATCCCTCCCCCATCCCTCCCCCGTCCTCTCCCCCGATCCCCCCGCCGCTCCACCGCAGATACTCCCCCGAGCTCTGCTTCCTGCTCACCAAGATGCTCTCTAAAGACGCGTCGCGCCGCCCCACCGCGGCCGACATCCTCGCCTTCCCGCTGCTGCGCCCGCGCGCCGCCGCCTTCCTCGCGGCGTGCCAGCTGGCGGCGTCCGAAGCGGCGGAGACGCATGCGCAGCAGCAGCAGCTGGAGGAGCGGATGCAGCGGCAGCTGCAGCAGCCGCAGCAGCAGCACCACCACCGGCGCTATCAGCACCGCGATAAACACCAGCAGCAGCAGCAGCAGGAGCAGCAGCCGCAGCAGCAGGAAGGCTCATCCTCCTCCCCATTTTCCTCCCCGTTTTCCTCCCCGTTTTCCTCCCCCCTAGGCTCCCCCCCGCCCTGCTCCTCCTCCGTCCCGACTTCCCCGCTGCACCAGCAGCATTCCGCCAGCGCCGCGCGGGTCCTGGCAATTCACAGCGAAGTCGTGCTGCAGGCGCACCGCCTAGGCCTGCACGTTCCGCTCGAGCCCCTGCTCTCCCCTTCCGCGCGCGCCCGCGCGGAGCGCCCGGGTGCGCCGGGTTCCCCTCGGCAGATGGCCGCAGAGGGGGCGGCGGAGATGCGCGGGGAGGCGGGGGCGGGCGGAGAGGGCTCGCTGTTCCGCGACTATGAGGCGAGCTTGAGGGTCGCCCCCCCGCAGGCAAGTTCATGAAGAAGCAACAGGAGGTTTCAAAGTGTCAATTAATTCTCTTTTCAAACGTTCGAAGTCCTGAGACTTTCATTACCATTCCCTTCGTTTTTTTCAGCCCGTTCGTTATTCTCCCCCTCCTTTCCCATGCGTCGTTCCCTCCGTTTCTTACCCCTCCCTTCTCCACCCGCCCCACTCTCCCGCCTTCTCTCCTCTTTCCTCTCTCCCTCTCTCGCCCTTCAGAAGAGTTCCCAGAGCAATCGCTCCCGAGCCACGTCAACCGACGGAGTCGTCACCCAAACCAACACCGCAGCCTCGGGCTGCCCAACCAGCCCGTTCGCCTCGGCAGCGGCTCGGAGGCGCTTCTCAGCCTCGGACACGGATAACTTGGTGCAGCGCGCCAATAGCCGCGGCCGGGGGAGCATGAGTGGACGCATGGGGGACGGCGGGGGCGCGGGCGGAAGCGGAAGAAGCGGGGGCGGCGGAAGCAGGCGGGGGTCGCGGGAGCTGTCACTGGCGGAAGAGGATTTGCGTGCGCTAGAGGAGGGGATAGAGGAGGGGGGCGGGGACTTATCAGACGTGGTTCGCGGAGGGGCGACGGGGGAAACGAGTAGTGCGGGAACTGGAGGAAATTCGTCGCAGGAGAGTATACCAATAGGTGTAGAGCATCCCTACAGCGATAGAAACGCATCCGGTCGTTATAGCGCGGATGACTTCGCGACTTATAACGGGGAAACCAGCGGCCGTTTTAGCGGGGAAAGTTCCAGAAGGATTTCGGATTCCACTCCCCCGTTGCCCTCCGCCCCAGCGGCGCGGCTTTCCGCCCCCGCGGAAGCAGGCGCGCTTGTAAATAGACCACGAGGGAGGAGCATGGGGGAGCGGGAACCCGCGCATGGGGGAGGCGCTGCGGAAGCGGGCGCGGAGCCAAGCAGGCGCGCGCAGAGCGGGGCTTTCGAGGGCCCTGGGGAAGGACTTGGGGAGGGGAGAGCGCAGGGAAGCAGCAGGAGCTTCGCGGAACGGCGGGCAAGGGAGGGGCGCGCGCTGCAGAGGGGGCGCAGCGAGGGCGGGCGGATGGGGGAGCACTTCCGCTTCAGGGAGGGCGCCGGCATGGGGGAAGGCGGTAGGGATGGCGCGGGCATGTGGGCCGAGGGGGAAGCGGAAAGGGAGGCGGCGGAAAGGGAGGCGGTGGAAAGGGAGGTGGCGGAGAGGGAAGCGGCGGAGAGGGAGGGGGCGGAGAGGGGGCGCAGCGGGTGGCAGCAGGAGCGGCGGCGGCGGCGCTCCTCCCGGCGCATGCCCTCGTGGGACTGCGAGCGCCTCCCCGGAGTAGCCTTCCCCCGCCCCCCCCCAGCCTTCGAATCCTCCCCCATCTCCATCGATTCCCGCACCCCCCACTCCCGCACTCCCTCCCTCACTCCCTCCCACTCCTCCGTCTCCCCGTCCCGCTTCCCGTCCTCCTTCTCCCCGTCGTTCACGCCCTCGCGCACGTCCTCTCGCACGCGGTCGCACAGCAGCAGCAATGCGACGGATCAGTCGCTCGGGCAGTCGCCCCTGTGGACGCCCAGGCGAGTGGTGGAAGAGGCGAGTCGCCTGCTGGGGGGGCAGCGGGGGGAGGGGTTCGGGCTAGGCGCAGGAATGGGGTCTGGTATGGGGATGGGCATGGGCGCGGGGACGGGAATGGGCTATCACGGGAAGCAGCAGCACGGGCAGTTTCAGAAGCAGCAGCAGCCGCAGCAGCTGCAGCGGCGGCGGCACCAGAAGCACCAGTCTGAGTCATGTATAGATCTCCAGATAGGCCCAGGGGGGACCTATTCGGAACTTTCTCCTAATAGAGACGGCAGGGGGTACAGTCCGGGGATTCCGTACGCGCGGGACAGTATGTGGTATAGCGAGGAGCGCAATATGGGGTACAGCCCGCCTGGAAGGGCCTTGAGCCCGCCAGCAGCAGCACACCAACTCCAGCAGAAGCGGTCGTTTGAGATGAGGTCGCGGGTTCAATCCCCAGTGCCGTCATTCCCAAGCCGGGTCAGCGAGGGGGATGAGGAGAAGAGCAGCAGCAGCGGCAAAACTCGGTCTGATGCTGCTCCCACTGGCGCCGCCGCTGCTGCTCCTTCTCCTCGTGCCTCTGGCCCAGGAAGCAACATCCGCATTGCTGCCGCTGCTGCTGCTGCTGCTGCGGAAGCGCTCTCTGCAAAGCCTGCAAGCCCAACCAGCGGCCCCACAACCCCCACAATCCACTGCCCAAGTCCCACTAGCCCTACCAGCCAGTGCCCTAGTCCTACTAGCCCCACTAACCCCACAAGCCCCACAAGTCCCACTCTCACTAGCCCCACCAGTCCCACGAGTCCCGCTGTGACGCGCTCTCTGCCCACGCGCAGCTCTGCTAGCTCCACAGACGCGGAGGCTGTGCTGTGCCGCGCCCTCGCCTCCATCCCCTCACCCCCGGACAGCCCTTCCGCGCTCACACTCATTCCGCCCATCACTCCCTCCTCCAATAAACCTAGCAAGGCAGCAGCTGCTGCTGCTGCCGCTCCGTCCTCTGTTATTGCTCCCCCTCCAGTCCAGCTAGCTGTTCCGCCTGCCTCGGCCCCATCCCCTGCATTCAGAAACCCCCTGGCAGCGCTGCCTCCGCTGCCCTTCCCCTTCCGCCCCTCCCCGCGCGCCCCTGCGCCCAGCCCCGCGCCCGCCTTAGCCACTGCAGCTGCTCTCATAGCCGCTGCTACCGGCATGCCCGATGGGCGTATGGGCATGGCGGAAGGGCGGATGGGTATGTCGGTTGGGCGGAAGGGCATCGAAGGACGGATGGCCATCCCAGAAGCAACGTCAGTCGAGACTATCAGCAGCACTCTCAGCTCTGATACTGCTGCTGCCATTCCACGCATGCAGCATGTGGCCGCTCTGCACCGCATTCAACACCAGCAGCAGCAGCAGCAGCAGCACGTGGCAAATCAGAAGAGCCAGAAGCCAGCAGCTGAGTCGTCCCTCAGTGCCGCCAGTGCCTCTGCAGGGGATACCTATGGCTCTGCTGCTGGTGGTGCTGGTGCTGCTACTGCGGGCAGCAGTGGTGCCAACGCCTCTATCTCCAGCTACGGGCGCAGCAGCAGCAGCAGCAGCAGCGGCACTCGCCCCACATCGCCCCTCCGTTTCGGAGGGAGGCTGGCTGCGAAGCTTGCAGGTTCCCTCTCCTCCCTGGTTCCGAAATCTCCTAAGTCTCCCAAATCGCCCAAGTCTTCCAAATCTCTCAAGTCCCCCAAGTCCGGGAGCCCTAGGAAGCCTGGGAGGAGATTCGGTGCAGTGTCAGGAACATCTGGGGCAGGCGCGTCTGCAGCAGCAACAGCAGCAGCAGCAGCAGCAGGAGGAGCAGCAGGAGCAGCGGGAGGGGGAGCAGCAGCAGCAGCAGCAGCAGCAGCAGCAGCAGCAGGCGCAGGGCAAGGAAGAGGGTCGTCCTTAGTGGCAGCAGTGGCGCTGGGAGGGGGTCACAAGAAAACCCCATCCCTGACGCTATCGACAGACGAAGGTCCCACTGCTGGCTCTGGCAACTTCAGCAGCGAGGGGACTATGAGCTGGGGCTCCCTCCTCTCCCCCTCCTCCCTCATCGGCCGCTCCTTCTCCCTGCTCTCCCCCAGGAAAAGCTCCAAAATGCGCCGGGGAACCTGCCTTGTACCCTCCACGTCGACGCGGGAAGGCGGGGAGGTGGAGGCGGTGGTTACTGGGGATAGTGATTTGAGTGGGATGTTAGGGGATAGTGAAGTGAGTGGGATGTGTGGTGGGGATAGTGAGGTGAGCGGGATGTGTGGCGGGGGGATGTCGCTAGAGGCCAGTTTGAGCCATGCGGGGCGGGATATGCTGTTGGGCGTGAGGGATGCTGCTGTGGCAGCTGCAGGAGCAGCGGCAGGAGCAGGAAGAGCAGAAGCAGGCATTGCAGAAGGAGCAGGAGTGGGAGTAGGGATGGGTGCGGCAGGCGAGGCACGTGGTGCTGTAAAGGGGTGTTCGAATGACGGGGCTGAGGATGTGTTAATGGGCCACGTGCGTAGCAGGCTGCAGGCAGGGCAAGCAGGAAAGGCAGGGCAAGCAGGAGAGGCAGGGCAAGCAGGAGAGGCAGGAAAGGCAGAGCAAGCAAGGCAGGGGGCACAAGCTGGGATGGCAGTACAGGCAGTGCAGGCATGTAGGAGTGGGGAGGAGGCGAGCAACGAGGAGGAGAGTGGGAGGAAGTGGGCCCGGCAAGGCACTGCCGATCGCAGGCTAGCGCTGCAGGGGCAGGGGAAGAGTGGAGCAGGTGGGGTGGGAGGGGCAGGTGGGACAAGTGTTACAGGTGGGGCAGGCTGGGCAGGTATATCTGGTGGAGGCTTGACCCAGGCAGGTGCTAACTGGACACAGTCCAACCTAGACA